GACTGGAAGACCGACCTGAACCGTGGATTGCTAACGAATGGCCAATTGTTAACGAGAGGTACATTACGGGCATTTGACAAACGGACAGTGGTTACACACATACCGAGAAGTGAAAAAAATACACGATGTACAGGGAGTCAGAAAATTATTCGCTCGATCGAAAATGTAAGAAAAACAAATAAAGTAATCGGTCAACAAAGAGAATTTTAATATTCTTTTATTTAGAACTACATAACTTACAGACCAATATAATAAAAAGTGTGCAGAAAATTTGTAAAATTCTTGCTTATAATCACAGAGAAACGAGTTATAACACCTCTTTACACGTTTTTACGTGAAAATATCTGCGATACATTCTTAAATGTTTCGATATTGAATGACATTAAAATATGTAAACATTCTATTACAAACAAAACTGAGTTGCAAAAAGTAGACAGTAATTACTTAAAAACAATAATAGAATCGACGCCAAAAAAACTTTCAAAAATTGTACACTACATTACATAACGTTAATTTCGTTAGACACTAGTTTATACAATGTGAGCAAATAACTTCGTCGCATGGAAACATCGACAAAATTATTATAACTCGTTTTTCTGAAATCGTAAAGAAAAATCTTTCAAATCTTTTGCACGATTCTGTTATATTCAACTCTGAACCATCTCTTTTCAAATAATAGAATGCTGAAATACACTTTGTTGACTAATTATTTCGTTCGTTTCTTTTATATTTTCGACTGAGCGAATAATTCCGTAACGCACAGTACGTCTACCACAGAAGCGGAACGTTTAAATGCAAATTCGGAAGCTAAAGGTAAAGTGCTGTGACGATTTGTCATCGATCGTAGTAGTACGTGACACATAGATCAGGCGTAGAAATAGGTTTTTATAGAGACCATCTAATCATAGTCATGAAATAACGTTGCCCCATTCTGATTGGTCGCTGTCATTTTTCTACTTAGTAATAAATATAATCACACTACGCAAGTGTTTACGGTGTAAATATGCCTTACCTGTACATTTGACGTTGTATATTGGTAAAAGGCTACGAAATGTTGCGTTATGTCTGACGTCACGAAATAAAGTCTCAGTTTTCATCAAGAATGGTTTTTACGAATTATTTCTTTTTCGAAACATTTATCGGAAAATCGTTTAGAATAACATATTCAATTGTAGATACAGATAGATACGGAACAAACATTTAGAAAGTGAAGTTGAACAATATTTAGTCGCCAAAAAATGACCCAAGATTCAGCGTACAAACATTGCAGCACTCTATACTTTTCAAATTCAATTACGTGAAATTAGCCGAAAAATGGCGGAACCCGATCTAGCATTAACGTTATTTTGTTACTCTGATTAGAGAGAGGATCTCTAGGTTTTCGCATTAAGGAAGATATATTTGCAAAATATATATAGATATAGATATATGTATATATACAGACAAACACGCAAGATTGGTTCGAGGAAGTTGGTGACAAACTTCAGGAACACGTATTGCAGAGTTTTGCAGAATTGCAATTGAATTACTCCGTGAATTAACATTATAAAATATTTTCCGAACCACCCTATGTAATTTTAGCAATATTTAATATGTTATACAAAATTTGCCATTATGCACGAAACTTAACTGTCAGTGAAAATTGTCAGTGAAACTGTTGGCAACGCTGTAAAACTGAAGAATATCCTAAATTGCTTTGTCTCATATAATGCCTCGTTTTCAATAATGACGTAGAAAGGCTGGAATTTCAATTTTTCCCATTATTTTATCTAACTATGTAAAATGAGAAATACAAAATTACTTAATACGTTACAAGGAAGAAAAATTGGAAAATAATTTTTGTTGACCCTAATGTCAAATTATCTTCGTCTCTATAATGTCTTAATGTCTCTATAGGTAAACTGATGTAAACAATTGTAAACAATTGTAAAAGTAAATTCTCCATGTGACGATAAATAAGAAATGTAGAATACAGTTTTTATATACGAGTCTTATTCTCAAGAATCGAGTGTTTACATATAGACTCCTGCAAAAACAGTTTCATCCCGAATATTCGACTTATAATTTTTTTCAAAAAATCATCGAAAATAGGAGAGCCCAAAGGTGCGTACCACTATTTATGTCCAATACTGTAGAACTCGATATCGATCGTTTAGATTGTGGCTAAAAATTGTAGACGGTTTTCCATCAAACTGCCACTTGGTTTTTTTTTTTTAATTAGAAAACATGTCTTTGATGTTGCTAGAAATTAGAATGTCCCGAATGAAATATTCGAGCTCGTTCTCCGATAATTAAGAGAAAACACAACATAGCAGCGGTGTGTCTGAACTGAAAACGTTAGAAATTTCGTGTAATGAGTCCAACGTCAAGCTCCAGGCGCCACAAAGTCGGCTGTAATTATCGATGATACGTATTTTTTTCTGACCTATCGAACAATAGAAATTCGCGGTCTAATTTTCGGTGGCGTTCGATGGCATTGTGTAATTTTCTTCGTACAGCGAGAGTATTAGGCAGGTGTATCAGATGGAAAGTACACCAAGTACACTTTCCAAGTGCAGTTCCAAGAACCAGTTTCCAAGTGAAACTTGGAATTAGCAAAAGTAACCAGTAGCAATCTTCCCTTACGTCGATCGTTATTAATCATCAATATCATTATTAATATATTTATGACGACAAGAGTACATAGATACCTGCGTCGAAGAAATTAATACATATTTATAAAAGAAGAAACGCGGGCATTGAACAGATTCAATTGGAAAAGAAGCGATCGATCGGTCGATATCAAAACGCATCGAAGAGAGTTTCATAGCGATACCTGAAACCTTAGTTGTCGAATAAAAAGGAATTGAAACACAGCGATATCTAAAGAATCACCGCAACTTTTGATATCCGATTAAAAACTTGAACTGCGCTACCGTGTGACATTTTTCGTAAGATTATCGGATGCGGAGTGGCCGAATAAGATCAAATTCAACGTAAATCTCTAGGTAAATGTACGCCTGAATTACGTAATTGTATTTGCACGAATGAAAAAGTCAGCGATGGACAATACTTCGAATAGTAAATGTATAACAACTTGCTCGCAATAAAGCCTCGATTATTTTTCGAAGAAAAAAATAATAGCGGAAGCAAAGTTGTCCACCTAAGTTCACAATTATTCTGATCCTTCTTTTCTAATATGCTCGCACACCGGCGTACGCGTTTGTATGTTTTACGTATGTGCCAGTTTATGCGCATAGCATGTCTGTTCGTGGCACGAACAAATCGTGCCATCGTCATTACCAACCATTCGCTGCCACGGAATGACAGCGCGACGTGCCAGACGGTAGTTGATCATCGTTATCATCAAGCTCCATCGGGCAACGTGCTGCTTGAAAGCGCATTTCGTTTGTAAATTTCAAATGGCTGACAATTTATAGGCACATTGCCAACAAACTGCTAACTCGGACACCTTGTTCATTGAAACGCTCGTCAATAGAGTTACTTTACATGCTGGTTGGACGTGAGGCACGGATCCCCAAACCGCCGTTTCTTCGTCTTAGATTTATTTTTCCTAGTTGGGCAGGTACCGCTAACGATTGCGCAAACCAATGGATCGACGTTCAAAGAATCGAATCGAGAACTCTGCGGGGTCGCGATGGCGTCGACTTCCGAATTCGATTCCATGTACGCTTCATCATAACGCCGTACAAGTGTTTTCTCGTTATACAGGGCAAATCGTGAAAAACAGAACACCCAAATATCTCTGTTGAGTTCGAAGGTACGAACAGTGTTGCGAAAGGAATTGATGTTTTCGTGGAATAAACATAGTTGTCATACTTTTTATTCTCGAAAGTCGATCTTTCCTCGAGTTATCGGGGTCATTAATGTCTTTTTTTTATGGCAATTAAAACTTTGTCCCACTTAAAACATTTAATATTTACACCTCCTAAGTTGTTTCACTCCAAATTTCTATATTGAAAATCGTATCCCGTTACATGGTTCAATTCCTGTCGATGTCTGTTACAATATGCAAAGTCTAGATACCGCAGTTCCATTGGAAAAAGATATTTTATGACCGTAACAACTCAAGGAAAGTATAACTTTGGAGAATGAAAATATGACGACTATGTTCATCCCATAAAAACATCTTACATCCGTTCGAAACCTTTTTCATATCTTCGGAGCCAATAGAGAATAGAAGACATTCAGGTGTTCTGTTGCTCGTGACTCAGCCTGTATAACTACTACTACAATCACTACTTGATTGTATTAACATTGTCGGAATACCGTTCAAAAAAATGGCGAAAAAAAGAAAATCGTAATTATTCTTAAGTAACGAAAGTAACTTTAGGTTGAAGATTTTTCGGAATTGTTCGACGCTAAACGTTACAATTCGTGTTTGGGACAACTAATTTGTTAACCGACACCAGGGAACACCAATCGTTTTCCACAAAAGCGTTACCATTCGTCGTTATCATTATTCGAACGCTTAGTAACGGTTAACTACGTTCATCTGAAAATAATTGCATTAGTTGGACTCTTTCGTCGCGATGGAGGTCGACGCAAGGAATAATTTTAATTTCGAATCGGAGCAAGGAGTCTGAAATCGGAAAGATAATTTTTAATTCTCATGTTTGGGTTCAACGAAATTCTTCTTACCGCACTTGACGAGTAACGAATATAATTAAATAGTAATCCATCGGAGAATATTTAGTCGCGATCAAACTACACGTTAATCGTATCAGCGATTAATGGACCGTCCAATTAAAATATTATCGTATGCTGGAAAATTGGTTACCGTTACAATTTTCCTTACAACTAAACGTGAGTGCAGTTTTCGTTAACAACATGACTGGAAAGTGGATTATCTTTTACCGCTGTATCGAGCTTGGGCGAATTTCGCTTTTTCCTTGATCGTTATTCGATTTTTCACGATACGTAGGAACCAGTGGTCGGTTTTAATAAACAAGATTGGAAAGTATAACTGACGTAAAAAATCAAATTGTCCACATAATCACCTGTTGCATTTTCTCCGCTGGGCCGGATACGCGCGTCGTAACGTCCTGGTCCTAGAATGTTGTCTAATACCTCCTTCTCCTTCATCCGGAAGTTCACCACCTTTGCACCAGTAGCACATCTGCAACCACAGGTAATCGGTTTTGCGTAAAAATGTGTATTAGCATGAATTTTACTCGTACTTACTAATCTACAAGTAGATTCGTACTGTAGTTACAAAATTCCAGGACAAATTAAAGAGGTGTTCTGGTTTGAACGACCGAAACGTAACCGATCATCTTCTTTGTATTTTTTTCATTGACAATTGTTTTATAATAAATACGAATACAACTTCTATATAATACATAATAACTAAAAATAGAGAAACGTAAATAAATAATTTTATTATTGTTTCATTTACGCCGAAATGAATTGAAAATATTACTAAATGTACTTTAAAACATGTCTAAAATATTCTCAAAGTTGTAAAAACATTATGTAACATCATATAAATTCCTCTTTGTAAAACAAAATATCCCAAGAAACATTTAATACTTGAACTCGTAATGTGGTTTCCTTCCTTAACAAACAGAAATATATAATAGAAGAAAATATGTTGTCGTTTGTCGGGAGAAATATGCTGTCTAAGTAGATTTTCCAGTACAAGAAGGAGTCGAAACACGGGAGAAATGTGGTGAAAGGCTGGCTACGTACTAGAAACGTAGCAGCATCACCGTGGCCAGCTCAATCGACTGACCTAAATCATATCGAACACGTATTGAGCGAACTAGGAAGTAGCGTTAAAAGCACAAAGCTTAGCAAGGGAAACGAGTTGTTGTAGCCTTTAAAAGATGAACGGATAAAAATTCCGAATCAATACGTTTGACCGTCTTAACGAGTCATTGCCTCCGAGATGTGGAGCAGTGATTGCTACAAAGGGCATGGCGCCAAAGCGTCAAAGCTCAATCGTAGCTTCTATTATTAGTAAACCGGAATTCTGTGTTTCTACCGAGAGCTACTTGTTATTTCTACTTCTAATAACTACGGATGTACTGCAGACTACGGATGTTTATGCAAATTCATATTTTCACAGATAAGGAGCTGAAAACATGAAACCATGTCTTATCTTCTAAACAATATAACGTATGTATTTTTGACGGCTGATATTTCGTATATTTTTACACTTGTCAATATCCTCCTAGATTTTCCTTTATATTCGTCCCTATAAATTTTACATGCGAGCATTCGCTACCGACAGAAACGTTTAGAAACGTTACTATCAGTTTTTCTTTTTCTTTTTTTTTTTAAATTGAAAGTTACACTTAACATATGCTAAAGTATATGTAAAAAAGTATATGTACCTTGATTCGTGTATCAGGATTGTTAGTAACACCAGTAAGTTCAATACTCCAGGCCACATTGCGGCAGCCTGTAACCCAGAAACAAACATGCAATTAATGATCGATATACCATTCGTTGAAATAATGCATATATATTGCAAACGCTAGTCCGACACTGGTATTCAATTTTTGACGATAATGAAATCGAATCGTACTATTTTCACTTCTCCGTTACACGAATAATATAAATCCGTCACTCTTGTTCCAACGAACACGGAAACACGTTATCGATGGGCTACCATTGTTACTCGGTAAGCGCGCTGAGTGCGATTCCCATCGAGTTTTGTGAATATTTCTAATCCAACTGAGCGACTTTATAAACCACGCGACTAACCTTCGTTCTTGATGCTATGGAATTAGAACCAAACGATTCAGCGAAAAATAGAAACGAGGAAGTTTTGTCTAGTTGAAACAAAGCCAATGTGTACGTACATACGTATGCACAGAGCTAATATTAATACGTATGCTCGTATTAATATTCGGACATTATAGTACTTATTCGTCATTGTCGTCGTGTCGTCGCGTGGTTTGTGGCTGGTCACAACATGGACCACGACGGAAATTAAATGCGGACTGTCTTTACTTCTTTGTTGTGAATTGATTTATTTTTTCAATGCGAACAGGTTAACACGAAGGTTGTATGGTTTCTGTTTTGAGCGAAGATTAAATCGGTTCTTCCTCGATACGCGAAGAAATTCGTTCGAATGTTGGATCAGTTCTGTGTCTCGTCTAGATCACCACCTCCCTCTCGATACCCTAGACATAGCATTTAGAGAAAGACGGAGTACGACGTAAGAAGTTTCTAAGCCCAAAAAGTGGCAGAAACTTCTTCCAAATTAGTAGCCGTAGAGGTGTGAATTTAAAATATTGTTTATGTTATGAAACAAAGCTTACTCGTAAACCGTGTGTATTTCCCAAAAATGCTTACTCGTCAAAGGGTTAAACCTTGTTATACCTATTTCATCAAAGTTTAACGAAGCACCAATTTTTCAACTCGAGAAGCTGTTCGATATTTCCACGTACGCCTGGAAATGCTTTGACCTATTCTATTTTCCGCGTTATAATTAGCATGCTCGCACGGTTTGTTCGTGAAATAACTACCCTTTTATATGTGTACATTAACTTTGATCAAATTTAAAGCTCCCGATACTTATCGAAGGTGGGAGGCGTTATTTAACGTTACTAACAAGAAGAAAAATTCGTTCAACTTCGCCGATAGCGCGTGTGCCGTGTGACCAGTAAAAATTGACTTCGTAAATATTCAAACGAAATCACTTGACTTCAATAATTACGTGACGTTCTGCCACTCGAAGGTGACGGACAGATATGTGCATATTTAAGTGCGTGAAGTGGCTCTTTGTTTAGACGAACAACAAGCCAACCGATATTTTTAATTAGAACATCTAACAAGATTCTAACTTAACGAAGTATCATCAAATGGGGTTACTTGCAACACTTTTTCACTTTAAAGCTATACTGTATGAAATGTAACATATTTAAGTGAAAAGTGAATACATCAATATTACAGTTTTAACGATGAAATCATGCAAATGGTTGAGAAACGTCGCGAACTTTTTCGAATACCCGATATATTTATCGTTAGCAGGAAAAAGTATTTTGACATCCGAGCAACTTTCCTAAAGGTAACAATCGTTTTTAAGTAGCAGAAAAGAAGGAAGTAAGATAACTTATCATTTGATACAATATTTCAAACAACATTATTTTACAAGTGGCCAGATCTGTTATACGCTCGTTCCAAGAGTTTTCATTTTCACGTATGTTTTCCTTGAAAACGAAGCTTGGTAGAAAGAGATTGCGTGGAACGTTTCAATTACATTTTTTTCCACGAAGAATCACTCTCCGCCCGTAATTACACCATTTTGCAGAACACCTTGCACGTATCGACGCGTAAATCTAGCGGTATTTCGCTTGATTAAAATTAACGCCGACCGACGATGGGTGGGCGTAAGCAGGAAAAGTAATTACTTAAAAACGCGTTTGTATATCGAGGAATTGTTTGATAAAGCAATTTGTTCACTCTTTGCTCGAGCACTCTCGAGGAGTAAAAATACAAACACGTATTCCGCATGTATACGCCACCACCGACAAAACACCAGCGATGCCCATGAGACGAGATAAATCTCGATCTCGGTTCGATCTCGTCCCGATTTCGAGATGTGATTCGAGATCGAGATTACTTGTAACATTCAGACAGATATGGTCGATTGGTTCGAATATCGAAGAATATCTATTCAATCTTCGTATGATAATACGATTCATAGTCTTTTGGAAAGTAGTTGTTGGATTGGAGAGTCTAACAAAATTTGTTTTCTTTATGGGTGTCATTGTTGGTTGACGTTGGTTAAATTCAGTAAATAGAACAATATTCTGTATTACTTTGGCTACCTGCCATTTAATGAATTTTTTATTTGTCGCGTTTCTACTTAGAGGAAACGAAACAAAAATTCAATAAAAAAATTGTCAAGTAGCATGTGATCATCCATGGCACTAGACAAATAATTGTATCGGAAATAACGGTTCGAAATAAATTATTTTACACAGTCATTTCTTATTTTTATTTCAAATAAAATTGGCCCAGGCTGGCGTATACCTATGCGAGCGCGTCTGACCATTATCGACTATTTCTACTTCGAGCTGATGTTTGTAAACATCGACAGCGATATTATCTAACGTAACTGGTTCCGAGACAATCAAATCGAATAGTATCGCGAAACAATCAACTACAGACACGTAAAGTTGTATCTAAAATATTCAAAATCAATTTTCTCGAAAATAACACGCCGCCCGACAAAATTTTATTAGGGCGTTGTACTAACTCCGTTATATCTCATTCTTCGAAGAGCCCGTTGCTAACGTGTACCGATTTTTGACCTATATCGGATAAAAGTATGTCTCGTACTACGTAATAAGAACAAATATTTTTAATTCGCTGTATACGGTACGGCGGTTGAGTTAAAAAGATCGCAATTATTAAATTTGTAGCAGTACACCGAATGTATTTCTAATTATTCTAAAAGCTTTTGTTAATCCGAACACCCTTTGTCCGAAACATTTATAACAAAGATAAGACGATCAATGTAAGCATCAAGAAATGCTTATGTTGCGATGTTTTGAAGTGTTGTTTGGCTGTCGGTAAATCGATAAAACAACGTATAGAGAACGTAAATGGGAACGAAAGGTACATTCTCTTGGAGGATCGAATAAATTTGACTAAAAACGTACACTTTATAATAATAAATGGAAATATCGAATACTGTACTGAGTTAGGGTTTCTGAAGCACCGAATTTTTTTTAAATCACCATTTCCGATTTTTTATTTTACGAAAATAAATCAAATAGATCGTCGAGGTCAAGTTTTATTAAATATTTGGTAGTCAAATCGCAATAAATCCGTTGAAAACTCAAAATATAATAAAAGAAAAAGAAAAACAATTCATATCTTTTCAGATCTCTCTTAGCATCGAATAAAAAATTCGTCCTTTAGTGGAAGATCTTTCGTGTTGTTTACTGGACTAGTCGTTTCGAAATTAAATATGAGCAAACCATCGATGCATGATGGTACGAGATCGTCAATTGAACGTATTTCATATTTGAAATAAGTCGCGTATTCAGAGTTGTGATGCGAGTTGTTCAGTGAGAACGAAATTGAAATTCCATCGAATAATAGAAGCGTAAACCATACGTTATCGTTGAACGAGCACAAATACTAGCTTTCGCTTTGTACTTTTTTTTTTTTTTATAAGCCTTCAGAGATTATCTGAAAAGAGCTCTGAAAAATGCTGCCCGAGAAAGTCGAATAACTGTATGAATTTTTAATGAATTTTCATGCTCGGTTGTTTAGGATTTTTAAATACGAATGCTGGGTATACATCCTCCTGGGATGAGATACAGTAATGTGCAAAAGTCTTAAGCCGCTCGTAATATAGTATATTTTTTACCTACATTTTTATCGCTAAAGAGAGGGAACAAACGTCGATTTAGCTTATATATTTTATTTTACCAATATTATTGTACAGCGTACCATCTGAAATTAGATAAATCCTTAGAAATTAGATCCTCCTTAAAGAAGAAAATCTGCCTACTGGAAATCTGGCTATTTGAACACATGGACAATTTTCTGGTAATAAGTTTAAGAGCATTCGAAAGAAAGATATCTAATGCAATAGTCGTAATTTTTGTATGAAAAAAAAAAATATATATATCTTAAAGCACACGAACATAAATACAGATGTATATAAAGCACAATAACAAATGTACGTCGTATCCATTTCATCGAGATGGATCTGTCGAAGTGTAACGCAAGCTTCACACGATGGCCAAAGACTTTTGCGCGATACTGTAAACGTTGCCTTGCGATTTCCCAACTCCAAAGCGAATACGACAACACCGAATAAGTAAAATGCGTCGCAATTACTCGGAGCACGAGATGTATATAACATCACGGTGATATTTGTCGAAACACTCGGCGTGTCCTATAAATTCGCGTTTACGAATTCGACCGAGGCGAGACAGTTCGGTGGCGAAATAAAGCGGATGGTTCGCAACAACTGGGTAACCCAACTTTCATACGGAAGTCGAGGAATCCATATCTCTCGTTACATACGACACCCCCTCCGTCGCTCCTCCGGCAACGAGAAGCTCCATCTCATTTCGCCGCTCTATCATTTCCATCCGCATCCCCGTTCCATCTGTCGACCTATACCTCGACGTTACTACTCGACCGTGCGAACAAACTGGCCCCCGCTCGCCGATTTTCCTATCGATCCCGTTCCAGCCTATGGGCCTATCCTTTCACGAGATCCGCGAAACGACAGATATCCGCCTAACTGGAACATCTGACGCCACCCCGGCCGCATCTGCTCGCGAAACTCGATTAACACTCGTGTAACGAGCCGCGAGATTACCCTTTAATCCTGACCCCGTTCGCGGCGCAGTTCTGCATTTTGGTTTCCACGTACGTACGTGGGTGGTGGCCCGCGGAATCGTCGATGCGCGTAACGGGTTTCGAATAACCGTGGACGGCGGTAATCTAGGCCAAACGGAAAAACACGGGAAACGCGTGAACGGAAAGTGTTGTTACCTGGAGAAGCTGATAATCCTAATCAACGAGGGTTCCGTGGTGCAGTGATACTGGCATGGCGCTCTCCGGTACGACACTGGAGCTCTACTCGACTCGTCAAGTGTCCTGCCTCGGAAGGTTCGTCTCCTGGACTGCCACCGTTCAGAAACCTACATATACTCACACCTACTACCTGGTCGCTGGCACGCTATTGATCCTTGCCCAGACACCCGCCGACCCACGCAGACGCTCAGCGTTGCCGCGTCGCTTTAGCAACATGACGTCATTCCGCTACCCCGGACTCTCCACCGCGACGAGCTACCGTCCCTCGTCCTTTTCTTCCTTCGTTTCGTACCGTTACCACCAGTCGCCACCTCGACACTCCTACCGTCTCTCATCTACCAACTCGATCTACCTTTTCCTTACAAATACACACATTTCTTACTTCGCAATTATTATGTAATATGTCTCGCAGCTAATCGAACCATAGAGATATTGCAGACGTTTAGAGCAGGGTAGCCAGGCCAAAAGGGAGGGAAAACCGCGGTATCTTACCTGTCTCTGTTTTAAATCTTTTTCTATTAACGATAAATGGGTATCGTTTGTACTTTTAATGATTACATATATATTTTACATTAATATTAATAAAAGCACAGAGATGAATAGGTTACCATTTCCATTCTCTTTCTAATGGTAGGACATTTCCACTTACAGACGGGCCTGTGTCTCCCCTGATCTACCTATTGGGTTAGCCAAAAGCGAGACACGTCTCTCATCCTCCAACTCGATCGTCCTTTTCCTTATAAACACGCTGATTTCTTACTTTGCAATTATTGCTCGCAGCTGATCGAACCATAGAGATATTTAGAGATATATTGGATACGTTTAGAGTGGGGTAGCCAGACCAACGTTCAAAGAAAACCGTGATATTCTACCTGTCTCTGTCTACCAGCGCATTTTTATATATTTCTCTGTTAACACTTTAACGTCCGCTCACACAGTATGTGTGTGATGCTATCGCCAAAGATTATTGACCAGCACCGTACTATCTGTGTGATGATTTATGAATGTAAACAAGTGTGGATGCTGCTATTGGGTTCGTTTTTTTATTGTCTGTTTTTAATTTTAGATTTTTTTAAATAAACACTGTGCCGTCTAGGTACACTACAGTTGTGTGCCACGAAAATTATGGAGTTATTGTCGTTGTTTTTTGGTTTGTTTTATGTATATGTTCGCATATATTGAATTATTTCGTGAATTTACGTAAAACTTGTTTAAATTAATTCTTAAAAAATATTACCGAGTTTAATACAACTATAATTTCAAAATCAAATTCCTTCACTTATACAATAATAATTCAAGCTCTCGAGAGGACTTCTTACCCATAGCAGTCTGATCTACTATCCACCCTTGGTATTGAAATTAATACAATTATATGAAAAGCAGAGAGTGAGACATGGAATAATGATTCTGAGCCCGACTGGAGCTGAAAAAATAACGTGAATATATCCACCCTGATGAAGGCCTTAACGCAGTGTGGTGATTTTCATACATAATTAGACTTGAGAGCATCTATAAAACTATTAATAGAGTTTTCATAGTATTCTTTTTTTTAAAAACTTAGGAATTACTCTTAATGTACTTATAAGTAATTCAAATTTCGCGCGCTTTTTCTGAAATACAACCGTCGCCATCTAGTGGCAGAAAGGCCGAACTATATTTCGGAGTATGGTCAGCGCCTCTATCGGGAAAACGCTCAAGTTTGTCCTCGAATAGTTCTTTTTTTCACTTCTAGATGGCGCTTTTTTATGGTAATTACCGACACCTGTAATTACAAACTATTCGAGAACAAACTTGAGCGTTTTCCCGATAGAGGCGCTGACAAAACTTTGTAAAATAGTTCGGCCTTTCTACCACTAGATGGCAACTGCTGCTTAATGGAAAAGCGCGCGTAATTTAAATTATATAAGGTAGCAATTGTTTAAAAGATATTTTACTTAAATTACTTTATATATTTTTGTAGTTGTTATATGTAAATAGTAACTCATATAACTTTATTAAGATACTTTACTTTCAAATATTCTCGAAGTTAAAAAACATTAAACAAATTTGATGTCCGAATTTGTGAATTCAAAAACTTGTACGCTAAAAATTGGTATCCAAAGACGTCTTGAATTGTGAATATGATTTAATTCTACAGTTTCTTTAGGAAACAAACCAAATCATTATTGCAATTGATTTTTGTCAGTTATTTTTATAATAATAATATTTATCCTAACGTATTTAATAAGGGTAAATGAAACATCACAATAACAAAAGAAAAAAAGTACAAGAAAAAGTGCTGAGCAAATGCTCAAATATATTGTATTAAGGACAATAAATTTATACAGTATGTTTTAAGCGATACTGCTGGCATTTGATGCAATCCTGGGCCACAAATCTGCACATTCTTTCGCAACAGGTCCTGTAATAGCTGATCCTTTCATTTCACCTTTATTATTCACTATAACACCTGCATTGTCCTCGAAGTATATAAATACTCCGTCCTTCCTCCGAAATGGTTTCCGTTGCCTTATTACCACTGCAGGCATTACTGTGAAAGAGAATAATATACTTAGTACTAAGAAATTAGATAATTTAATAAACTGGAAAATTATAAAACTGATAAATAAATGTAAACCAAAAATGACATAAAACTGTTTAAATAAATGATTACTACTTTGTAATATCAGATTACAGTACCAAAAAGAAATATGTAGGAAATATGCCTATAGCTACATAAGTTGCAGAGTTGCTTGTGGTTGATAAATAAATTCACAAATAAAAGATAAATTACCCTTTTTTCTGAGTTCAGGTTTTCCCTTCTTCACAGTGGCAACAATCATGTCACCTGATCCTGCAGCTGGTAGGCGATTCAATCTGCCCTTAATTCCTTGAACTGCGATGACATATAAATTTTTCGCACCTGTAATAAAATTATTTGTTATATATATATAGATTCTATATTTTCTTATCTACATATTTAATAAAATCACCTCTATTACAGATACATGCACTTACTAATAGGTATACATCAAATTTGACTGATATTTAATATAGAAACAACTAAACTTAAGAATACTTAATCATGCAAAACTCAATTTATTAATATTTCATATACTAATAATTCCATTACTGACAGTACTGGAAAAATAAACAATAATACATTTTATTTTGTAACAAATGATTAAATTATTATTTTACCCTTATGGGAAGTAATATTATTTCACGCTTGAGAAGCAATTTCAGAAGTTTGTGTAATAAATGCTCCATATTAAATAATTCTAGTGCTCACGAATAACGTGTTTTCTTTCTATCAAATGCAAAAGGTGATTCATTTAAAATATTTTAGAAGAATGACAATCATCGTCCATGTGTTATTCTCAGCCATAACATGATTAGTTTTTGAGGTTATCCGTTACTTCCACGATTTTTAGAAACTACTTACCAGTATTATCGGCACAATTGATGACTGCGCCGACTGGCAAACCTAGCGATATCCTAAATTTCGCTCCAGCGGAACCACCACGTCCTTAAAGAATAATAATTTCATGTTAATCGTTGATATCGATGTACACGTATACGCGGATTTGTCTACCGACACAACAATATATTTTTCCATGTTGCATTATTATTAACAGAAAATTATTCCTGTTATTGCACATGGCAAACGTTCTTCCACTATTTGTATAACTCATTTTAAGCTTATAACGTATCTGTGGACGGATTTCTTTGGATTCTTTACGACCGGGAAAACCAACTTACCTCTCTTCGACATCTTGGCGTGTTTCAAAGAAAAAGAAACTGCTGTTTACAGCGCACTAGCCCTCGCGCAGATTTCGTTGAACGTTTCCGGCGCGGAAACACTTACTATATTCAAATCGATACTTTTTCGAATAATCGTAACGTAACCAGTGCTCATGTTACGTACTTATTCAATTTTTCTGTATTCAAATGTTCAAACGCTTTGGTGATTCGAATATTATGTGAATTGTATTCGAACATCAAACTCTTTAAGTCTATCCGTTTTTAAACTTTACTTATGATATTTTATTAATCGGATTTCTACTTTTATATTAATGTAGAGGAACTATGTGGTTTCATACATTTTTCGCCGATAAACCACTTTTTTCTTGGAATCACCATATTTATACTTAATCTAAATCTAATCGCAAATGTTTCATTGTACTTTTTGCAAGTATGAAAATTTATTCTAAAAAATTTATTTTATCGCGTATTTAAAAATTTTAATTTATAAATTTGAAACATATTCAACGAATTCAGTCAAAGTTACTAAATCGTAGTTCTTACATACGAAATTTTAAAGAAAAATTATAAAGTTAGAATATTAATTTTTCCAACTCATAGTTTCATGCTATAATGTTCATCGATTGAATATGGGAATATGCGACTTTGAAACAAAAAGTTGTAGAACAAAGAATCTGAAAAAATTTGTTTCTACATATTCTATTTCGCATAATTATTTAAAATCGTTTCGAATTTTCATTTATTATATGATGCTGTTAATAAACATATATATATATATATATATATATGAATGAATTGTGAATTGTAAGTTAATAATGCAGAAAGTATTAGCTATAAAGATTGAATTTTGGTATTCTAATTAAAGTAATTTCTTCAACAGTAATGTAATATGTTCTACAAATATTGATTTCATGACTGCAGTAAAAAGTTTCGATTGCGTTCGACACCATTCGACACTCCTTTGTTCTGTCCACCGAACTAATAGAAGAAAGTAAAATTTTCTATCGTTGTTAGTATCATATTCGATCAAATAAAATGCCCAATGCTCTGTTAAACGATTCTAGAAATTTGGAATTAGAAGGTAATTATTAATCCTATCCCGAAGTTTTTTTATTTCACCTTTCTAGTTTACGTGATACTTAACCTTTATCTGTCGAATAATATTGCTGTATTTTTTATTGATTTCCTGTTTAACATGTCTGTATATGAAACTAAAATAACTATACACAAAACTGTTATGCATTAGATAGTATTTACAATTTTTAAGTGTACGTCTTTGTTTTTTCGTTTTGAAACGCCAATTAAATTATATCTTCTTTTTTCATTTAGCTCAGGAGCCATGGCCTCAAACAATTACTTTATTTCAACCGTACGAAGTAGAACAAATACTGTTACCTGACAGTGCAAACTGTTTAGCTGTACAAGCTTATCTTAAAATGTGCGGTCTTGAATTTCAAATAGAACTAAGAAGCAACGCAGAATATATGTCACCATCTGGTCGAGTACCATTTATTAAATGTGGAGCATTTTATATATCCGAATTTGATAGTATCGTGTCGTTTATAGGAAATAAAGGCATAAGTTTGTCAGATCATCTATCTCCAATTGGCAAAGCAGATATGAGAGCTTATATATCGTTAGTGAATAATATATTTGTAAATGCTGAATTATATATTTGTTGGATCGACGAAATAACTTTAAATGAGGTAACCAAACCAAGGCATGGGAGCGTGTATCCTTGGCCCTTGAATCACTTTTTAAACTGGCAAAAAAGAAAAGAAATCATAAAGAAGCTCAAAGTACATGGATGGTATAATAAGAATTTAGAGGATGTATGTAGCGAAATCAAAAAGTGCTGTGGAGCATTATCCGAGAGACTCAAGGGTAATGAATATTTTTCTGGAAAAAAGTAAGTATAACATAACATAGAATTATTACAAAAGCATGGTTTATTTTGTATAAGTTAATAGGTATCTTGTATTAACTATCTAGTACTTAACTTTAACAATAAAGGAATACACCTTACTTTCTACTACCCTATTTGTGTTTTCAAATCAAAAAGGCCTAATGAAGTAGATGCTTTGGTGTTTGGTCATGTATACAAACTAATCAACTCCAACCTTGGTCCCACTATAGAAGAGATTGCTGCAACCATAAAACAATTTCCTACACTCATTGATCACATGAAAAAAGTTAAATATAACTACTTCCAGTTTGATTTGGCTGAATCTGTTGAAGATTTTGAAGTTATCAACAATCCTTCAAAAGACACCTTATGGAATTGTTCAGAATCTATTGAAACATTACCAACGCTATCAGAAGATTCCTTTATTAAATTATTATCACTTTAAAATCTGCAATATTTGTTGTCATTTTTTCGGTAGACTTGTACAAGTGCATGAAATATACTCTTACATTTTGACATTATTCATTTGTTTGGTTAAATATTCGTAACTGATCAGTTTATTATTCAATTGTATTTAGGACGCCTAATGAATTGGATGCCTTAGTCTTTGGACATATTTTTACAATAATTACAACACCTCTACCTGGTAACATACTGGCGAATATTGTCCAGAACTATCCACTGCTTGTGAATCTCTGCAAACGCATTGAAACTAGGTATTTTCAGCGTTCAGAAGAGTAGATGGAACTACACTCGAACTTCAGATACATTGAACTCAGGTATACTGATTGCACTGATATTAAGTTCTTGTGTTATCTAGGCACCGATGTTAAGAACAAAGGTACAAAACCAGAAATGTGCAGCATTCAATGACTTTGATTCCATTCAGAAAAATAAATTCTTTTATTTTAATTACGAGATTCATATTCAAGGAGTTATTTAGTTTAAAAGGGGGTTAATTCTCACTCTACAAGTTCCTAAAATAACGAAATTATTTTTCTTGCGTTTTCTAAAGCGTAGAGCGTCTAAAATAAATCTAAAAAAGTTATATTGGAAAATTTGTAAAATTGACAAAGTTCTAATATTATGAATAAGCCTGAAGTTACATTGTCCGCATTGTCGTATAACGAAGCGTACAATCTAATCACAGCTTAAGGTAATGCGTTAATCGAAAGTTGAAAAATTATTATTTACAAATAATTTTCAATATTTTAAGAATTTTATGTAAATCATAAGCAGACATCAATTTATAGCTTTAGGCTGTTTATTTTCCGTGAGAGTGCATGCAATGAAGTCACTTCTTCTTTGGTAACTCTAATGGTATATGAGATATAACTATATAAATATATGATAATAATATTGTTGCAGCAACAATAAATAATTACTCGATGTATCTGAGGTCCGAGTTTGGAGAGATAGTAAATTGTATAGTGAATAAGAAAGTGTTAATAGTTACTTGCTATAAGTGTTAACTATAGAAATTATATTAGCGTTGAACACGAAATAACATTATTTTAAGTACGTAATACTGCACGTGACATTTTTCAGCATTTTTTCTCCTCAAGCGATAGGGGTCAAATAAAGTAGCAAAATGTTGAAGGCGAGAAGTAAGTAACACGATTTTGGACATTTTCAAACGTATGTTTTTGGATAACTGCAAGAATACATAACCGAGAAAAGGTATCTCTAAACTTGACATTTCACAGAATGACTTGTCGGAAGTAATGGTAAATGATCGTTATATGACTAGTGTCCATTTTCAACATAGCTGTTAGCAGCATTTATCTCTAATTTAACAGAATCATACTAAAGAATCATCAATACAATATCATTTTGATGTTGAATATGGTTACATAGCGTTAATCGACAATAAGAAGTTTTCCAATCATAGACTTTGTATATATTTTACGTAGATAATGATAATACATTTATCTCTCTTTATATTTTAGATCGTTCCTTTTTTTTATATTTTTGATGAACTTATAAACTCTTATAATTTTTCAATTTACACTAAACCCTGTAGAAAATATATATAATTCTCTATTAATGTGTATCAATTTTTAATGTACATTTATCTTATACAGAATATCTTGACATTATATAATGAAATTTTATTATGTTTCTAGTCAGTTCTTATATGGATTTCTATGATCTATGTAATTGTACTATACGCTTAGAAATTGTATTTAAAATAACATAATGGTGTATTATATGATAATGTCCAATTTAAGTTAAATATAAGTTATTGGAGTAATGTTCAAATGATTTTATATCGTAAAAAGCGAAATTTGAAAATAAATATTTAATACCGATACAACTTTACATTACTGTACGTTAGTATTTGTAATTATTATACTAAGTCTGTTACATACTTCTTGTCTCCAGCGTTTAATTGCAATAAACACCAGTTATAATCCTCATTACATTTTAATTAATCAAACATCTACACAATTAAACATTTGTGTACTAAATGTAAAATTACTCTGTTTTATCTCAACATGTTAAATGTTCTTTGTAATTTAATGTTTGAATATATTCATCGTTTAATGACGAATAAAAGAATCAATAACATAGACACCTGTTCCATACATAACAAGCATGTATTTTTCTTGTACAATCTCCCTACTTTTATTATTTCTATTTCTTGATAGTATCTTTCAGTAACAAATATTACGCCTGAAAGTTGCTATTACAGTGTACACAGAAATATAATTTTACTATTCTAAACAGAAGTGTAAGCGACTTGTGATTTGTTATTCGTTAAAATTGAAGCAATAAAATCATTGCATGAAATAACAAAGTATACGCAAACTTATAGCGATAAAGTTGAACACCGAATCCATTTTCATTTTCGTACAACACTCGTACAAAATTATAACAATCGTTTTGAATTAGTTTCGTTCTATAAATTTATAGCATAGATTTTTTATCAGGTTAATGAAACTTAGTGAAAAATATTCAATATAGAAAATTTAAGCATTTCCACATTTTCTTAATATAAGATTGATCTTACACATCTGTATATTCGTGGTGCGAACGTACATGTGATCTTGAAGTATAGCAAGAACTACAAGATATAAATTCTTATGTTACTTTTGCTAAATTATTTTGCATGGTTGTTTCATTTTGATATAGATCTTCGACTATGAATTACACGCATTTCTATAATCTTATTAAGAGTAGGTATAATGATATAATATCACACACATGTCCATTCAGAACATACATATTATGTATTTGTAATTGAGAAATTACGAATATAAATATATATGCACTCAACTAACCTGTAATCTATACTGATTTATGCTTGTAGTGCTCAACTAAAGCTTCAACAATTATAATTTTAATACACGAATTAAAGATAATCAGACTGAGATCATATTCTTCTACAATGACTAAGTTTGAATCGAAGACTTCGTATTTATTTAGAGATATTTTTAAATGCGCATACTTACATTGCAGTAAATAAATATAGCGTAAAATCACGATAGAAACACAAAAGTACAATCGTTATTATTATCATTTGTAAAATTAATTAATTTATTCAAGAAGGTTTCGAACTTTTCAATATATCACTGTAACACCAAGCTAATTCCTTGTGCAGATGTATTTTTTTAATACACAAAATTGAAATAATTATAAATCAACAATCCCTCGATAAAACGCTGAACATCGGGTCTGCTCGAAATGTTTATAAGAGTGAAGGTATAGAATTTTGTTTTTACAAGGAAAACGAATAGGAATTAATACAACAGCTAGCGCATCTCGAAGCAGAGAAGTTGTTGAGATTAAAAACAATGTGAGCATTTTACAGCAAATTAATGTCATGTGCCTGTTTTAATAGAGAAATTAACTTGTAGAACTATTAGTAATTGTGTACAAATTCATTCACCGAATAACGTCTTCATTTACACAATTCGGAAAAATCCGGCTAACGTAGCATTAAACACAGTCCGAATGTAGTCGTATTTATTCATTTCATATTCTGCGAAAAAACTTCATGGATGGTCTGATAATATTTCCATAGTTACATATTATGTTGTTAGAAATAAATTTTCTAGCTGCGTAAAATTTTGATTTATAGAATTCTGAAGTCATTTATTAAGTTGAAATAAACAATACCAGAGAATTTTACCCATACATTCCCTTCATAGTCATCTATACCAATTCCTGAAATTACTATCTCGAAGTAATCTTCGACTCTGCTTTAAAAAAACGTCTCAAGTTTCGAAAGAGCTTTCATCTTTAGTTAAGCAGCAATACTGGACCTCGAGAAAATAATGAGAATAAGAACATTACTGTATGTAGATGTGACTTTATTTTCGCTATGTATGTACTATGCGTAAAAATAAAAACGTTGTGCGATCAGAAATTACATGTACCTGGAAATTTGCTCTATGTTCGTTTTTTTTATTTGTATCTATTCTACGAGTATATTTGCTTTACATCCGATGAACTTTATTGTTTTTTGTTTGTAATCTATTGCAATAATTTCACATCGCGAGCATTAGCTTTCTTAAGTTACGCTTGTAAATAGATAAATGCATTAAGTGCTTTGTGTGTTTTTCAAATCAATTTTTAAACAATTTCACATAAAACGGTATGCGCTGTATTTACCCGCGTAACGCTCTAATAGTTATTAATATTAAATTTCGATTGGTCTGTATGTAAATTACAAACTTTTTTATTAGATATCGTTTCAATTAATTGGTACCTGCCCAAAGTTTCATAGATGTACATTCTAATACTTACTATATTGTGATACTTCTTCACAATAATTTTTTCAATTTTTATGCATTAAAACCTTAATCTTCAAATGCACTTTTATATTTTAAAACTTATCTTAGAACAAAATCAATTTAAGAAAACGTTATTTGTGCATGTGTAGACAAATTTTTTTTGAAGTGAATACGATCTAGAATACAATGCAATACAAAATTTGATACGTTTAATCGATAAATGAACTTTACTTGAAATTTCATGAAAATTACAGTTGAACAGTAATGTAAACGTTTACATAAGTAGTTTGTGTTTTGGACTTGAATCATTTTTATATTTCTTCACCGGACATACTTATTAATAAGATATTATTGCAAATTATATCATTTTTTTTTTTTTTGGCGTGTATTATTGCACGCTTTGTATTAATATCTTACATTTATCTACTCAATATTTTTAAGATATACATACATGTATATACCGACGTAAGCTGGTACTTCCACATTAATTTTGTGCTTACTACTTAAATTAATCTGGTGGTAAAAAACTAAAAAGTCGAAACTGTTCTCTAATGCGTGGCCTAACGTCCCCTCCCTGCAATAAAATAATTATTTATTTAATTTCTAACGGATATTTTGCATTATTCGATGTAAACGTAAATACTTACCCAGTTTACTAAGTTTTCTAAAAAAGGTAACAACTTCATTAATTCATTATCTGAACGATCAGCAAACCAACTTTCTATTGGGATACCATTTTCCAACTGTAACAGAAATATTTTTTAAGAACAAAGAATGGTTCGTGACATTTCCTTTTATTTTTCTAGATATCAATTTACCTGGTATCCAAATGCTTGCGGACTATTATCAATAATAACAGTTTTAGATAAATCTCTACCCAATATAGACAGATCCTTTATATAGTTTCCATTAACGCAAACACAGTGTTCTCTGAACAGACGGTATTTAATCAACTTCCTTGTAGGATCTAACAGATTCATTAATTTGTTGGCGTAAACTCGTTTACTCGCGGTAAAAAGAATTACTTCATACAGTGACGAAACATGTTCTAAAAATTCACGAAAATATGGCCGTGTTCTGACGAACACTGTGTACGTTACATCTTGAAAGACGACTGGAAAACGAAATGCAGCATCCGAAAGTTCTTGTAAACTGCAGTGAACTAACGTTTCATCCTATGCAACAAAATATCTTGTTATATACTTATACATATGTCCATTTATTCTGTGATGCATTCCACAATCAAATTAAATTTTAAATTTTATTGGTGTTTTTTCTTTTTAATTTTTCATTATCTATTGTTTTATTATCTCAGTTAAATGTGAACATACCAAATCTAATACTAGACTGAATTCTGGACTGCTACGTGTTTTGAGTGGAAGAGCAGGACATCTGGCTCTCATTGCTGGAGTTAAAGGTGGTAAGTGCTTAATGAAGACATACGGGTCGAATGGTTCCCAGTCTTCTTGCACATGAGTAACCATATTTTCCACATCACAACTTTCTACTATTTCTTCGCTACCAACTTCCATGTATTCAACATTGTGGTAATCGCTAACAATGTCATCGGAATTATATTTTTCAGTAACATTTCCATTGGTATCAGGTGAATGGTGATGACTTATGCTGTACATGGTTGATGTACTGTACTTTGTAGTAGTAAAACTTGATTCATATTTTGATGAATGACTGTCAAGAGAATATTGATTTTTCGATAAACTACTGTTATTTTCATTATTGTTGCAAAGTGCGTATTTTCCACTTAAAAAATGCTTTTCTGGTAAGAAAGCACGAGCTCCATACATGGATGTAGAATGTATTAAACTATAGCATTCTTCGGATGTTTCTGTTTCTGTGCAGGAGGAAGCAGAATAATACAGTGAACTGGTATCTGCAATAAAGCAAAATTTCATTAGAATATGTTACATGGAGCGAAAGAAATTAGTATTTAATTTTGCTAAATACATTTACCATTATTCTTAGGATCTTCATTGTCTAATACATATGAAAGGTCTGAATGCGATCCTATAGATGCTGGAGGCATTAGATTTGTCAAGGGTGATACGTTCGGAATGGAAGGCTTAAAGTCATTTATAGTAGATATGGAGGAACAACATGAATCTGTATTTAATATGGATGAGTATAGAGATAAAATAGTTGTATTCCAGTTTTCTTTAGAATCGTCAGTAACTTTAGATACTGTTGTGCATTTTGATGGCTAAAAAAAATTTAAACGATGTATTTTTGACATTCAAAAGTTAAATAATTTACGAAGACTTACAGGAATTGCATCTTTTGCAGATGATCGATGTAATGGAGTTGAAGTAACCATTGACCGTTTTATGCATTTTCTTCTACGAGGTCCTCTCTCTCGTCTAATAGGCGCAGACTTCGCAAAATGTAAAACATTTTCTTTACAAGCCTACGAAGATAATAATCTTTTTAACAAAACTGAATTGAAGTCCTTATATTAACCAAATGGCTTCGATTGTAGTTCTAAGAAATCTAATTGCATAATCATCCTTGCGAGTTAGTCAGTCACTCATTAACCATTAATCGCTGATTAGTTAGAAAGTTTTTTTCGTTTTAAGAAACAGTGAAGTTTGCTTTAATAAATGACCTGCAAAGATCATTTACAGTAAGCTAACAACAATAATACACTTTGAAATATTATAATTGAATAGTAAGGTCTTGGATGGTAACAAGAAAGAATGTACTATGTGTAAAACACGTATATCAAATTTAAAACTTAAACAAAATTTAGTGCTGACCTCTTTCAAAAAATGTGTGCATCTATGCCTCCAACGTGTTAGCCTGCCACATTTGTTTGGCGAGTTAATGCGATGGTTATTATTACTGATAGATGGAAGTTTTCGCAAACTGCCAACTTGTACTCGATGGTTGGAAACTTTGGATCTGGGTACAGTGCTTAAAGTAAAACGACCACGCAGTCTTCTACCAACATGTTCACTTCGTAACCACATTTCAAAGGAATATTTAATTATCCTGAAACAATGTACAAGTATAGAATATTATTTCATAAAAAGATTGTGATAAAAATTAGTATAATTTCTTTCGCTGAATATGTAAAAATGGAAAATATTGAATGCAGAAGATATAACTTTTGTTTCATAAATATAATTATCTAATGAATTCCAAACGTATGTATCTAAAACATTAAACATTAAAAACTGAGTGATATACAGGGTGGAACAGAGAAAGATATAGAAATGTATTTCATTATCTAACAGAGGTTTATTTTTTCATACTATGTAAACGAATTTTTAAATTAGTCCCTGTAAACCCAAGCGATACCAAAGTGAATAAATATATTACTCGTGTTCAGAGAAGTTAATTGTATTTTCTACATCTCAGTGTTGTTTCAAAGATTTATAATAAAAATATTGAATTACAATAAATGGAAAGTCTCATTAAAAGAGACGAGATTATCATTGAAGCGAGGAAGTTGAAAAATTAAGTGAATTTCGGTTCGATGTTATCAATTATTGACGTTTTGTCGTGTCTTAGAAATTGCGCGGGAAAGAAATTCGATCGTATTGTAAAAAGGGGCGTTCCTGATCCACGGTTCCTTGTCGTACCTGTATATACACCTACGTTTAAGCGTCACGTACACAAACACGCCTATGTACACACACTAGTATGTATATATCGATTTATATGCGGTGTGATACCCGGTTACGTTTTCGAACGTTTTCACAGAAACGGTATGTCGTTCTAAAGCGGAATCGAACGATCATCGAGAAGCATGATAAAAGTCGCGTTGGAGGACAAGCCGTACGCGATGCCCGTTTTGCTTTACGTTCTTTGCATCGGCTACAAATCGATCGAAAGTTTGAAAGTGCAATGTTGCGCCGCGGTAGCGGCGGCGGCACCCAACAACAATCGTAACACCTGAAAATTCGCGCGAAAACTATCCTTCGCGAATAGACACTTAATCCATGTTTTAACTACTGTTACCGCTTACCATATCTCTCAATTAACAGACACACTCGTTAAACACTGAAATAACTTAGTACGTTACGATCACACGCGTTTCATTCAAATCCCTCGTCGCGTTAGCTTTTCATCCCCCCCGAAACTAAACAATCATGGCTGCGGCGTCGCTCGAAAATACACCATGAGTCAAATTCAACACTTCTTTAGCGACGTATATTTCGAAACGATCGAATATACGTAAAATTTCGCGAATTTATTCGATATCCAGTACAAGAAATTATACGATAAAGACAATTCCGCGATTTGTTTTCGATGGAAACCTGATTAACTTTTACAAGTTTTCCGGTTACCGATGGCGACATCTACGTTTCCAAGATGGTTACTTTCAATTCTTGCAATGACGCTTGTCCACTAAAAGAAATCGAACGAAGTACCGCCATTCGCATGCCATTTATGCCATTTATACCATTGTAAACCAGAACATTGTACAACAAAACAAAATATGAAGCTAAAAACCTGCGAAGACACGATTTCTGTACAAAAATAGCAATAAATATTTCAAACTTTTATTGATTTTCCGTGTAGCTATTTACATCGTTATATCATAGTTTCTCCAGTATTGTATCACTGTAATAGTGAATAGTAATTTTATATTATTTATAAAATCGTCTTATACTGTATATTCTACTAGTTACGATTAGTTCAATATTTACAATATGTATTAGAAAAGCCAACGTGTACATAAACTATGTACAGTAGCACGACATGTATATAAATTTAAATTGTAGTTATTAATCAATTTGCACTTATGGAATAGATATTTAAACTCCTGTATACTTGCTTCGACTTCCTAAGACTACATTTTCTTGTGTGCTATTTCAGTTAAATACGATAGACCACATATTACTTCAGCTTTTACTCATTATAAATAGTAATATTACATAAACAAAAAATTGTATGCAGCTTTATGTATAAATATCACGGCATACATAGCACATTTTTCATTATATCAAGGTCATTTTTTTTTTAATTAAAAAAAGTCTTAAATTTCGAGGTCAGTTTTGTACAATCATAAATATTTGATAGAATAGAAGTTCTGAAATGTTTGAATGAGAAACTAAACCGAAGCATTTTTACAGTATTATTATTAAACTACTAATTAAAACTATCACTCTATTATAAATCTATTGCAATTTACAAAATAAAAATCTTTACACTTCAAAAAAGATGAGAATTAAATTTGTTTACCTTTGTTACATGATAACGAAGAACTTATAATGCCGAGCGCAAAACTTTTCGATACATGTGTAAATAATAGATTTCCAGCAGTACTTCACCTTGGATGATTCGCTTTGTACGTGTAAGTGGGAGTAAAAATTTTGTAACGTAATTTATTATACATGTAACCGTAGTTACGAAATGTTTACTATTTAGCAGTGTAGCAAACGTTACTATTTCGAGTTAGAAGTAAAGTATGCATTGGTCAAACACCGTTTGATGTTGTGGAACTGTGAATCGGTGGCCTTAATAGATCGTGGTATTGCAACAAGGCTTCCCGTAACGATCTTGAAACTTGTCCCGATGCTGTAGCAATTGTGCACTCCACTAAACAAGGATATAATCCGATCAGTTGTTCCCACACTGACTTTTCAACTGAAAAATAAAAAATGAATTTAGATACGATAATAAATTCATCGGCAATCGATACCACAATGAAATTCAAATATGAGATAAGAAAACACGTTTATGCAAATGGTTAAAAAGTAATAGAAATATATTAATAGATTCATGTCTTCTTTTATACAGTTTAATGTACAATTACCTTTATTTGGAGGTGCTTTTTTCAACGACACTACAAGTGTTGCAACAGCTTTCAAAACAAATGAGATTTCAGATAATCTGTATCTAGAAAAAGTTCACATAATAAATACTTAAAAATTAGTGCATTAATTACATTTTATCATTAGTTTTGTTAAGCAGTAAACCAAGGAGCGGATCCAACAGCGTTGCTTTGGTGAAAGAAAAGACAAGATATATAAAAGTATATTTTTGAATATTCTTTTCCACGATTTGAAATTTCGGTCATAATTTAAGTTTAGTATTTTTATCTAACAGCCTAAATAATTAAATGAGAGAACTCTCCATTAAGAATTAGAAAAGTAATTGGATCCGCCTCTGAAAAAACGATGAAGTATGTTCATATTTTTGATCGGACTTGAATAAAAGATAACAAAAAAATCAGTAACAAAACTGTTACCTAGGTAATGGACACTTTCCGCTTCGCCTTTCATTCTCTATGTATCGTCGTAATACTTCTTGGAACCTATGAAGAAGAGCGGTGACTGCCAATCGTCCAGCTACGCCACCTTCGTCATTTTCAGGATTCTTGGATGTATCGTGCTCCGATTCGTTATTTAATCCGTCCAAAAGAGAAAATTGTAGCAATGTTTCAAAACATGTCTTCGCGAATTCTTCTCTTAATTTGGTTTCATTGCCATTTTCTACAACAGTAAACAGAAAATTATCATTTTAAGCACTTGCAAATCAGGCAGTTCTCTAAGAACAATTTATACTTCTTACCAATATTTGTTGTTGTCGCTGAATGTATGGAACCCTTGTTTAAAAGCATTACTACTCGTAAGATAAATTGATGAGGTATGTGTTGAGAATGTGGTAAGACTTCGTCGCGTAAAAGCTCCATCACTTGACAATCCACGGCTTCGTCAGCTTGAATTTCCTCAACACCTCGTTCCACGTTCAGTACGCTACAATTAAGGGGAACAGTAACACATAATTCTTCATGAAAACAGACACCATTTACAATTACCTTTTTGGAAATAAAAAATCATCTAGGGTATTCGCTAGTTCCGGCCACATACTTTGAAACTGTTCTGGATATTTTCTAGCTAGAGGCAACCCGGTGTGTAGCACAGCGAGTAGGCTAGTAACAGCTAATTTCCAAGTTGTCGATGATGGACAAGTATACTTCATCGACAAAGGCACGTGTAACGCTTCTATAATGTGCTTTAAAACTTGTCCATCTATTACTGCCATTTCGTGTGCTGTCTTTTGATACAACGTTACGACCATCGATAAGGCTTTTTCTCCGAAAGGAACATAATTCATGATCACCCAATCAGCCTAAATAAGTAAGAGATACTGAAGAATAACCGTTTAGTGATAATACACGGTCAAGTATCTAAAGTACAAATACGCACAGATACACCTCTAACTTGAGAAATGTGTTTGGTTGGTATTTTACCATACGTAGGTGCTTCGCAAGCCAACTTTGAAAAGCTTAACAGCTGAAGAAATATTAAAACAATCATTGTTCGCAAATTGTCAGGCCCGTTTAATGCTTCCTGCAAAAAATGTAATAAAATTAATTCAGTATGGAGAAAATAATAATGTCGTCCATGACATTAATTACACCGTCTAATAAGAATTTTGTTTTCCAATATCTACTGGGTATGTATGATTGCAAAACATGAACAAAAGTTTTATTTCTTCAACAATGATACCTTTTGCAGAAGCTCCATGGAATGAAGTACACCATCCTGTAAATGAGTAAGAACGACATCTGGCATTGTAGGTAAAATATATGGTGTTGATTCACCGTGCACCGGAACTGCGACTGCATTTTTTAGCACAATACAAAGTTTTTGTAAATCTGATCCGGTAAATCTGTTAAAAAAAAAAACAATACAATTAAAATTATTTTTTATTCCCATTGTAAGTGTCACATCCACAAATCAGCAAGATTCACGAAATTCATTTCTCTAGATAAAGAATTGAATTTCTCGAAAAATACCAATAAACGTACTTGTTTCTGATGTGTTGGAAAACAGCTGGAAATATGTGAACCAGCGCCGTTAAAAATGCTTGCGAAGGTATGTAAGGTTCTCTTTCGCTTTCTTGAGGTGGCGACGTACTTTCCATTCCGATATTAAGCCATACACGCCATGCAACAATCCACAATGCTTCGGAGTCATTTGACTGAATCACTTCGTTATTATCGCTTCCTTTTTGAAGATAAAGTATTTCTTGAAATGATTTTAAAGCTGCCAATGATACCTGTTGATTTGAAGTAATATAGCAAATAAGATTGTTACATATTTTTACTTTTATTCATGATATAATAAAAATTGTTCATGTGCACCTCGTTATTTTTACTAAGCGCTGAATTTTCGATGAATTCTAATAAAAGAGACCAAGCTCTAGGAAAATCTCCCAACATTTGTAAAAGTTGTCGTTTCGTGTTAAACACTCTTCCAACTCCACTCAATGTCAAAACCTGCAAAATAACTTCATAAAAGTTGCTTCTTGAAACATTCATGCTGATTTCTTGATTTTTTTTATTTAAATGTATATAGAAATTATTACCTGTGTTTCGGCCCATTGCTTCTGCGCTGTGTTTCTGCTGTGATGAATAAGAATATTTCCGCTAGTGTCAACCTTCTCACTACTTGCTGAATTAGACAAACTTCTTACTTTATCTAATAATGGAAAGAGGACCTGCCAAAGCACAGCCTGCCATGTTGGTTGATGTAGCAGACTACCATGAGCAGATATCGTAGAAAACAAAGTCTGACTGGCTGATTTACGCACTGCGGGTCGAGAATCGACGCATAAGTCTCCTGAAAAATGTAATAATAAGACAATAAGTTAGTTAAAACTAAAATTGAATATGTTCAAATAAATATGATAATGAATAATTATCATACAAATAAAAATCAACATCAGTTTATCCTGGGTTTGGAAGTCCTTTACCTGTCCTTAACCCTATCATTTCATTTGTTCAGGCCTTTTAAAAGATTACATCATCAATCGATTCGTGTAAAACAATTACATACTTCTATTAACAAATAAGTATTTACTGCACTTGCATTGTTGCAACAGGTAAAAATATTATAAATCAAAAGATATTTTTCATTGAAAGATTCAACCGTTCGTTGCATGAATTTTTCGTATCTGTGCTTAAAAAAGTGCCATAGCTTGTCCTAATTTCTGGAATTATTATGCATACTATTATATTTAAAAATTCTGTATTACCTAATCTCGCGTATAGGCACATCCAAAGTTTATCAAACGCTGGCATATTCGTTGTACCAGGAAAGTCCGGAAATACGGATGACGAATCTCCTTTTAACGACACGCAAAGTTTTTCTTGATTTTGATAAAAATAATCGCTTATATTCCACTGAAAAAGGAAATAAAAATATAAATACATTGATTTAATTACCAACCTCTATAAGTTACATTATCAATTATATATGAATCTAATTTAAAGTATTATATTCTGTACACGCAATAATAAGTATTATTGTAATAACATGTTCATAATAAATTGTAACTGCCTGATTGCCTTGATATTAATTTCATTCGTTCAAGTACTTTTGCATCAAACTTTAATAACTTTAGGTGTTTCTATGTCTTCTAGAATTGAACGTATGTACGCAATTTTTACCATGACTTTCTTCTGTAATCGAATGTTTTAACCAAGAGTCATCAAATTCGCGCCGCATAACTTCCGATCTCTTGTAAGATTGTTTTAGAAAGAAACATACAAGTCAAGATTAACACACAAAGACAAACGTTGAATATTGGAAACCACTATCAGACGCATATCATTCTTACCATTAACCCAACAGCAGTAAGCGAAATATTCAATTCCTGCGTTTGCGAACCAAACTTGGCAGCTGTATCAACGCAAAGTGGTAGGCACCGCCAAGGCATCACTGGTAGAAAATCAGTTACTACCAATTGTAAGCACTGAAAAGCTATTCTAACTAAAGCTTCTCTGTAAAATGTACAAAAATATAATACAGATTACAAAAAGACATTGGTCAACATCATTAAATTACATTAAATTATGATACTGATGAGACTAAGTGTGAGATGTTTGTGCAATAGCATCAATTGAAAATAACTAAACATGAAGTTATGAAAATGTTCTGGTGCTTTCCAAGTGGGTTTGAGTTCAGCAAACATATTTTACAATTGATTACAAACTTTAATCCCACACGAAATACATACAATTTAGCTAGTTTGATTTGATAAAACATGATAAACCCATTTCACTAAACCCAGATTATGTTATTGGTAGTAGTAATATTTACCCATGGTGATCTGATACTGCTCCAATGATACCAAGTACTAAGGGCCAGCCATGATACAATGTCTCTCCAGCACCATGTAACACTTGTAAAACACACTCCAATTGACGTTGTCTTACATCACCATGGCGTACTGATGATAATTCCGATAATGGTCCTAGCAGTAATGTCTGCAATTTCTAATAGACAAATGCATAAAATTCTTACCAATTAATTCTCTAGAATGTAATTCTAATTTTAATAAATAGACAATAAACGTACTTGGTTATCCCGTAAAGGTTGAGGATACTTATGCTGGAGTGCCATTTTAACAAGGTATGTAATAGCTTCCACTCCCCATTCTCTCATACGAATGTGTGGATGTTGACAAACTTCTAGCAAATGATTTGTTAGTGGCCTCCATAAAACTTCTACTCTGGGTAAATTTACCAAACCAGTTTCTAATAGTTTTGCCACAGCAAACAGTGATGGTTCCTAATAGAAGATTGCTAAGTTTTTATAGGATACTTCCTTTGGACGAAAATATAACGACTTCTTTTTAAGGGAGTATTCTTATTTAAAATTTCATATTTCGGTTAACTTTTAGGATTTAATATAACAAAGACAATATAAGATCTAGACATTTGACATACTTAGTTCGATATTTTTTGCAGTTGATATTTCAACAAATCTTATAAGCGACTGTATTTGTATTTTCTGCATTAAAAATTCTCACAAAACACCTTCTCCTACTTGCCAACAAGAATACTTCCTTATTTTATTATTATGATATAGAAGAATTCTTGACACTTACCCTGTTAGAATACGCTAACTCCATGGCTTCATGGCTTAATTTGCAAAGCGCATCTATTAGATGATGTAAAGCTACATCATCTAAATGTTGGCTACTTTCGAATAGTCTGCTGAGCATAGCGCTAAGTACAGGTAGGTCTGCCATAACAGCATTTGTTAATACTGCGTTCGGATCAGCAGCAGTTCTACCAGCTTTCAAGGATCCTCCTGTAGAAGGTTTTAAACCGAGTATCCAGACAAGATGCTGCAATGTCGTAAGTACTAAATGCCATGCTCCACCGAGTATACTTCCATGGCAATGAGCAAGCGAAAGTAACGCTCGCATACACTGCAAATTCTTTGCTGTTAACATGACAGGTCCTTGATGTGCACCTGCATAAGCATAATTTTATATTAAACAAATCGCAAATATTGTCAATATTTGTTAAATATAATTATTAAATATAATTAACATTATAAGTAAATAGCTTAATTTTAATGTTTCTTATTCACATTCCTTACTGCTTACTGTAAGCTTTGTAATGAAAACTCAACTATAAATAGTAATGCTTTACTAAAATCATTTTACTTATGAGTTTCTTCTACACACCAAGTGGTAAAGATGCAGTAGGCAATGGAGTGCCAACAGCTACCACCTGCTGTCGATAATCCGGTTCTCCAATAGTCAAATTGTATTGTGCGGAATCTTGTTGTCTTGCGCTTGGTATACCTTGGGGAGCATTGTACAATACGGTCAGTGCGTAGTGAGGAGGTAACGAAGCTTTACAGATTGCCGTAATAAACGCGTCACGTGGAGTCTGTAGCTCTAGTTGTCCACACAGAGATGCAAAAGTTTGAATTGCTTTTAATACGTTTTCCGTCGCAGATTCATCGGTACTAGTAATTATAAGGAAAAAGAAATTATTTTCGTGTACTATAGAAATTATACTGAATACAAAATGAAATAATCAATAGGAATATTCATACTTCTTACCTCGCATCTATAAGAGGACTCAACGCTGCTAACAATCCACACCAGCTAGAATTGACGAGCTGGGTGTGAAGCTTTCGTTCAGATTCGCTTGGTTTGTAAGACTGATTTCCAGTTACAACTTCACCGTAGCCATTAATGGCAAAGGAAATGGAACGTATAATATCTAATAAACATGCGTAGGCTATACTGATTCCATAACCAACTGGTATTTGTGGTGGTTCAACTTTATCAAGCATATCCAAACTAAAAATTATTATTTTAGTTATTTGTATAAGGAATCTTATTTTCGCAGTAATATTTCACTTCTTTACGCAGTATAAAAATCGCGTGGTTATCTAACAGTTGAAAAATTAACATTTATGTGAAACATTACATTATAAATAGTGCCAATATACTTACTAGGTAGATTTAGCTTGACCACTTGTAAATGTCGCAACTACTGGCAGCCATATTCCACGCGAATAAAAACCAGGCTGAGGTGAGACACCAGGGCCTATTGGCATTCCCGTGAATAACGGAGAAGTATTCTGTGACGTCGTTGTACCTGTTGCTGTATTATAAACGCGTTAATCCAACTTTATTTAATGTTTTATGATTATCAATGACACTACATTTACCCATATTGGTTTGATTCATCATTTGCGGATTAACGAAAAGACTATGTACATAGGCACCCAAACTATTGACAATGTCTTGAAAAATATTAGTTGCATGAGGTTTTAAATCGTAGCATTCACAGAAATTTGTGAGAAGATCCGCTTGAACTGTCATCTTGTGTAAAACTTCCAATGCTAAAGCTCTTTGCCAAGTCGGTTTATCGGGATCCAAAAATTTAACAATTAAAGATAAAAATATTTCACATTCTGTCACCTGAAAACATAAAAAAAGCTGTGACTTAATTTAAGCATACAATCTCATAAAACAAGAACTGTACGAATACTTGTTACATGTCCTACCAATTATTAAATTTTTATTTATTTTATTTTCTAAAAAAATTACTTTATATTATACCTAGCATCTTACATACGTCTTACTTCTCAGAAATATTCCGAACTACTAAAACTATAATACTTACCAAAAGAGAATGATACTTTTGTATTAAAATAGAAACAACTCGGAGAAGTCTCATGCTAATAGGAAAGTAAGGTTTATCCAGAGGTGTTGCTTGTTGTAATGATGCCGGAACGGAATTACGATATTTTATATTAGGTGAAAAGAGTTTAATTACAAGGGCACAAACTCTTTCTTTTAGCAAAAAGCTAAATTCTGGATGCTGAAAAAATATAAAATTGAAAATTCATAGTTCATACTTGAAGTAGCTGTATTCATTATGTATCTACCTTAAAAAATACTGATGAAAAATTTGTTAGAACAGATTCTAACAATTCTAACCCAAATGTACGTGTCATTTCGGTAATACCAATTAACCAGTATGGTTGATCTGCATTTACTAATTGCACTAAGTCCTAGAACAAATATACATTAATTTAATAATTGAATTTTATTTGGTAATTTAATGTTATAGTTAAATACACTCACTTGAAACATTAAATATGCATCAGCAGCACATGGACCTAAACCTTTGGGTGCCTGATTATTCGGAATTTTTAATTCCTCTAAATTTATCTCATCAAAATCTTCGTTATCAGGACTCTGTTCATCTTCTGCAACAACACGCTCGAACACTAAGGACACTAATTGCCTCACTGTGGCTCCTGCTGTATTAATTGTTGTAGAATCTTTTGTAAAGTGTAAACGAAAGCAAAGAACCAGATTCTGAAAATGATATGCTACATTTCATAACTTACAATTAGATGAGATGAATACAAAAGAATTAAATTTTTTCTGACCATTATTAATTGTTTAGACATTATGAAAGCTTTTAATTTCCTACACAATACAAATAATTACCCTTGCAAGAGTTTCACCATGAACAATAGTATTGCTTGTAAGTAACAAAGTGACAGTTTGTAAAACTTTAACTTCTTCTGTTCCTGTTTCCATCAACATCCAAAGTGTGTCCGTAATATAACGAGCACCTTTTTGATCAACAACTTGTTGAGTGATTAATTTCTGCATTATACTTAAACAAACCTAAAATAAAGACAAAATGGTAGAATTAGAACAATGAGATTATAATGATGAACAAAATGAAGTGATGAAAAGTATGTAACTTGATATATACCTTAATAATTTTTACATCTTTACTTTCACAGCCTTGAACCAAAGGATATAAAATTTGATTAACAATATAATAAATAGGAGCACCTGAAGCATTTGCAGCTGATCTTATTTTTGCAATTCCTTCCTCGCATGACTGCAACAAAGTATATATAAGTTAATACCAATAATCATATCTAAAAATTTAATATTGTTGTCTTCTTTTACAAAAAACTATTATAATAATACAAATCAAAGTTTTACATAAAAAAATTATTTATTAATATCATTCTGTGTATTTGGAACATGTTATTTGTATACGTATTAATAAAATAAAGAAAGAACAAGAATAATATTATATATACCAATTACAAAAATATGTTGTACATACATAGTCTTTTTAAAACAATGTTTATTGAAGCAATGACAGCAGTTTAATTGTAATAAAAATTACTTTGCTCATCAATGTTTGCAAAAATACACTTCAAGATAGGAAACTAACCTAATTGCTACACTTAATGTTAAAGTAGTGTAATAAATATTTATTCATTAAAAAGAACGATAAAAAAAAACATACTTCTTTGATTTGTGGATATTTCTTCTTCGTTTCAGAAGCAAGGGACTTAAAATCAGATTGCAATGTTTCCAGAAATTTGGAATTATTTTCCGGGTTAGCTCCGATAGCTGCGTTCGCCATCGTATTGTATTCCTTTTTTACAGGCTTACCATCAAAATTTATCTCATTATAAATTATAAACAATCACTGGATAAACACATACTGTTGCAAGAGAATTCGTATCTAGCTGATAGTAGGTGAGTTGGCACGTCCCATGCCGATTATCAGAAATGACAACGGGCAGGTGACAATCCATTCAGTTTGTCCTCAAACATTTTTTAACTTACGCTATTATGAGAATGTTATTTATTACAAGAATAACTTAAAAGTGCTACTGATTTTTTGATTAAAATTTGTTAAAAATCGTGTTCTTACACAATTATAAATTATTCGCATTTTAGTTGCAAACACGTTCAGGTAATAATAAACCGTAACATGCAATGGTGTGCAATGGCGCTGATACTCATATATGATCGTACATCACATCAACTTAGACTATCTCATGGACTAGAGTGGAGGCTCGTGCAGTAATCCAAGGTTCTGTAATATAAAATTGCATTGAATTAGAGTAGATTAGTCTCTAGAATAGATAAGCTAGAAATGTCATTCCTAGTATAGAAAAAGATAAATTGATACAGCCAATTTAAATGTCCATTTAACAATGATCGGTACACTTCGGTGATAATCGGCAAGCTACGCTAGAATTTCAATTTGTAAGCGCGCGTTTACACCGACACAAGTACAGGGTGTCTCAAAAATATTGTAACATCTTGAAATGGGTGTTTCAAATCACCTCCTGAACCACCCCTTTCAAGGTGTTACAATATTTTTGGGACACCCTGTATACGAGTGGCGCGATCTCATTGTCTAGTGACTGCTAGTGACTAGTAGAGACCAGTAGAGCAGTGATGAGCAAAACCCTAGGATTCGAATAAATCTGAAGTCTGTCGATATGTTTGTCTCTTTTCCTCTTTCGAACATTTCCCAGAGAAAGAAACGAGACAAACACATCGGCAAACTTCAGATTTATTCGAAGCCTAGGGTTTTGCCCATTTCTGCAGTAGAGTCTCCTGGTTGACAGAGATAGTTCTCCGAGGGGTTATGTATACATTTAGTACAGTCCATTGATTCTTTTGAGATCTTTGAGTGTATATTTATTACTCCTATTAGAAAGATCAGTTTAATGATTAATAAAAAAATGATGCATATACTAAAGAAGCAGGTGTTGAGGCATTTTATAAAGCACAGAGGTGTTAATACATGGTCTCCTCTTGCAACAGCATTTAACTCCATTACCAAAGAAAAATATGAATTTGACCTGTCGAAAAATGAAATTGTAAGTAAGCATGGTTATTCTTATTGCTGAATTTTTCACTTTGTAAAGTTTTTAAAAAATGTTATAGGGTTTATTTGGTATACCAGAATTAAAAACTCCAGAAGGATTTAACATTTTAAAAGATCGAGCAATGATCCAAACAGATATGCTGATAGCAGAAGCTACCAGTGAAAATAGGGTACGGAAGATGGTACAAATTTTTGATGATATGTCTGATACATTATGCAAAGTTGCAGACTTGGCTGAATTTGTTAGAATTGCCCACCCAGACAGACAGTTTGTTAAAGCTGCAGAAAATGCTTGTATATTTATCAGTGGTATAGTAGAAAAGTAAATATTTTTTTTTGTTAGAATGTTAGAATGATAGGTAGTAACAAAAAATAATTTGTAAATCTCATCAGGTTAAATACTCATTGTGAACTATATAATGCATTACAACATGTTGTAAATAATGGAGACATTCAAGAAACATCTATTGTAGATGATCATGTTGCAAAACTGTTCTTGTTTGATTTCGAACAATCTGGCATACATTTACCAGAATCTAAAAGGGAGAATGTTGTACAGTTGAATGATTACATTTTACAAGTATGTAGTTCAGTTTTATTTATATACCTAGTAAGTTTAACAGTGCTTAAAGATATAATACTTTCATAACACAGATAGGTCAAAAATTCATGGCAGGTGCAGGTAATGCACGAGTAGTAGATGCTAACATTCTTCCACCAGGTATAAGAGAACAGTAAGTATTGTATCTGAGTGATCTTTGGAAAAACACCCTATTTGAATAGTTTATATTCTCTCATTAGGAAATTTTGTAATATACAGGATTTGGAAGGTACTTCATTGAACTTTCTTAAATGCATTTCACAGTTTCACAATGAAGGATAATCAGATAATAGTGCAAGGACTTTATGTAGATTCTTCTAATAATTTGGTACGAGAAGCAGCATATCGTGTTTTTTTATATCCAGATAGTGAACAAGAATATCTCTTGCACGAACTTTTAAACTCTAGGCATGACTTGGCCAAATTATGTGGATTTCCATCATACGCTCATCGGTAAATTCTCCGTAAAAATTGAATTATAAATTAAAAATAAATATTGTTTATATTTTTATATGTACAAATAAGAAATCATTTTCAGAGCTGTGAGGGGAAGTACAGTAGAAACACCAGAAGTAATATATGATTTTCTTAACATCTTAAATGATAATTTGAAGTTCAAAGCAGCACAGGATTTCAAAGAAATGCAAAGGTTGAAAGATGCAGAGTCAATGACAAAACAGGTTTATAAAACTTGTTGAATTTGTAAAATTCTAAAAGCATTTTTATTAACTGCATTTTTCGTTGCCTAGGATCTAATGCCATGGGATACAGCATACTTTATGGGAAAAGCAAAAAGAAGTTGGTTAAATATGTCTAGTACTGAATTTACTCCATATTTTTCTCTTGGTGCTTGTATGGATGGAATAAACATTTTAACACGAGCACTATATGGAATTCGACTGGAGTCTATGCCAGTTTTATTAGGCGAAATTTGGGCAAATAATGTACATAAAATTGCTGTCATAGACGAAAATGAAACAATTTTGGGGCATATATACTGTGATTTTTTTGAGAGAGAAGGGAAACCTAATCAAGACTGCCATTTTACTATTAGGGGTGGAAGACAATTATCTGATGGATCTTATCAAGTATGAATTACATGTGATATATAACTCAATTTTATAGAAATGAGGTCTTTCTATAAATATTTCTTTTTAGAATCCAATAGCAGTATTAATGTTGTCATTGCCATCACCAAAGTGGTCTAATCCGTGTTTGTTGAGCCCTGCATCTGTAGAGAATTTGTTCCATGAAATGGGTCATGCATTACACTCTATGCTAGGTAGAACAAAGTATCAACATGTAACTGGTACTAGGTGCAGTACAGACTTTGCAGAGGTTCCAAGTGTATTAATGGAATATTTTGCAAGCGACCCAAGAGTAATTATAATAATAATAATAATAATAATAATAATACTTAAGTTATAGAACTCACAATTGCCTTACAATTTAATATGTATTATCAGGTTGTGTCTACATTTGCAAAACACTTTCAAACATTGGAGCCAATACCAACAGTTTTATTAGAAAAATTACACGCCTCCAAAAATATATTCTGTGCTTCTGAATTACAAAATCAAGTATGCTACAGTATGTTAGATCAAGTTTATCACAGTGGAAAGTTAGAGAAATCGTCAACTGATGTTTTAAAAGAGATACAGGGGAAATACTATGGACTCCCTTATGTTGAAAATACAGTATGTATTCTTCATTTTAGCGATGAAAAGACATATCGTGTACTAGAAATGATGGGAACTGATAATGGTTAATAGAAATATTAAAATGTACAAATGTTTACAGGCATGGCATTTAAGATTCTCGCACTTAGTCGGATATGGTGCGAAATATTACTCTTACTTAATTTCTCGAGCAATTGCATCTTGGATATGGCAAACTTATTTTCAAGCAGATCCTTTCAATCGAACGGCTGGTGATCGATATCGGAAAGAATGTTTAGCACACGGAGGTGGCAAACCATCTTCTAAATTAGTGTCTGATTTTTTGGATAAAGAAGCCAATGCCAACAATTTTGCAAAATCTTTACTTAACGAAATCGATATGAGGACTGATCAAGTCCAAAAAGTAAAAAGATAAGCCATGCAAAGGCAATGTCTAAAATAATTACTTAGAAGACATTATTACTACGGATAAACAAATTTTATAATAAAGAACAAATACAAAAAGAGAGTAATCCATTTATGATAAATATTGTACAGATATCGATATTTCAATTTTAACTATAAAAAAACATAAATAATTTTATAATCAGATATATACTTTGTAAATAAAATGTCAATAATTCTAATTAATGTATTATGAACAAAAGATAATTTGAGTTTTTTGTTTTATTTTATTACAAGTACGGAAACCTTACCCTATTTACAATTTTGACAAATCTATAAACGGTTACACAAAAATAAGATTTTTAGTGTAATACAGACAAAACGCAGTATAAGGTAATTTATGAGAATTATTTTTATAATCTAGCTTCATTTCTTGAAGTGTTTTGTTACTCTACTCTACGTGGTAAAATAAAGCTATTGTTTTATTCTTACAAAAATGAAATATTGTACCAAAACTTTAACATTTCAAATTACTTTGAGCATGACATAACCTACCATGTACTGCGTTTAGGATTGTTTTAATTTGTATTAAAACTCTCCGTCAGGGCTTCCATTAAAATTGGCTAATGATTTATCAACAACATGTTTCCTTGCGTTTATACAAAATTCCATTAATAAGCTATTTAATAATTACACTGACATAAAACGACTGAACAAGCCACTGAATGATTCATTTCCAAATCTTATCAATAGCATTAATAATACATGTATATTTTTTTTAATAACAATCGGTTCCTACGTTACGAGAATTTCTGCTTATTTCTTCGAAAAGTTTTTGTTGTCCTTACATATTTTATGGCATAGAACTAGACGTTTGTATTCACAAAAAAGCACTGGACATTTTTTTTTTACAATAGTCTCTTGTCTTCGTTTTTAGATTACACTAAAAGTGATTATAACAAATTGTGTTTCATCTAATATGTAGTTACAGCAATTTAAGATTTATTTATTTTCATTTCAGTACTGCATCGTTATCTTCCTTAAGTTTCATTTTGCACAGCATTCATACCAGCAATTGTTTTTGTTTAAATAATTATTTGTAAAATAACCTTGTAATACAGAGTCACTAAAAAAAAAGTAGTTATAGCGCAAATATTATATTTGCCATGTCTTTCGAAATATTCATAGAATGTAATGTACTTTTATTACATATTACGTCTATAATTTCGATTGCGGTTGTAATATATGCATATAGAGTCAATGCAGGATTAATACATAATTTAAAAAAAAATTTTATTTTAAATTGTTTTTTCAATACCAGTGCAATTGTAATTAATTTCAATATTTTATAATACATACAAAATAAAAATGACAACTATCCAAAATCAGTTTATATTACATACTTTTTAATTTGTAAATAACGACATATAAGATACATACATTTTTATAAACTTGTACTCTTGACAAGTTACACTTTACTCAAACGATATACAAAAAGTAATTAAATAAATATGATATTATTTATATTTGTGTTTAATCTTAATATTGTAATTTTGTAGTGAAAATCGTAAAGCTAATGGCAGAGTATTTTCATCATATAATAATATGAAACACTTCTATTACATTTTGTAATTAATAATTTTATTATTATAATATCGTAAAAACTAATAATGTGTAATTTTAAAAGACATGTAGAAATTATCTATTTGTACATAAAACCCTATCAGACAATATCGTTTACAGTATAAATAGTTTACGAATTCCGCGATATTTAAAAAGTGCTTCATATTATTTTTAAAGTCATCATAACCTTACATGTATTGCTTTACTATTGTTTTGATGAAAATGGATCTTATTTGTACAACATTTCTTATTATTTATAAACTCTGTATTATAAGGTAATATACACAAATTTATTACAGAAATACATATTATATCTCCGATAAGATTTCTTAAACTTTGTGGCTTTCATATTTTTTTAGAATGCGCGTATGACGTTGCACGTCTTTTTTCGGAAACATTAAAAAAATTCTGGGACAAAATAAATATTTTCCGTATATCAGAATGATAATTAAATACACAAACCTTTACTTCGTAATGTGTTTTCCGTTTGTTCAACATGGTTTTGGTAATCACTAGATTCTATATCCACAATATACTATTTTATATTTGCCATAAGTAATGGATTCTTGTTCACTTTCAATCAAACGATACATTGTATTTTTATTCTTAGAATATCCTTACTACATTATCTTCTTAAATTTTTAATATGCTGTGAAAAACTGTTCTGGATAAAAAATTGATATATTTTAAATGCTGTACCATTGAAGACATTTTGCACATGGTCCTTTTTAGCGAAATCCAGAAACAACACAAGAATAACAGTAAAGCACTGTTTAAAGGAGATCTTATTAATCCAGTGTCCATTACGCACTACAAAAACCAAAACAATGAGGTCCACTCTAACTCTTTTTTTTTTTTTTGAATCAACTGATCTGCATGCTGCAACATTATGCTGACAGTCAATCAGTTAAAAGTTCCTCGTTTCTTCTCTTCAATATGTCACATTCACAGTAGGCAAATACCAAAACAAATTGGTTCCTTTTGCTACAAAACATAGCATCAACCCAGTCTGAAATGACTTCGACGTTTGGTTCAGGTTACGCAACATAGTTATACTCGTTTGCATTATCTTTATCTCGCTCCATGTAATCCCTATCTATAAGAGATTCAATTCTCTTTTTTAAATCAGCAGGCTGGAATAAAATTTTGGTTACATAATTATACTCATTCGATTTGAGGTATTTAAAATGTAACGCGTTTTAGATCGATAACGCACCTTTACGGGGAACTTTAATTGATTGTATAGTTCGCTAATCAACAGATTGTGCGTGAGTGTTTTCCTCATTTTCATAATTCTTACAATAGCTGCATCTATTTGGTACTGTCTATCTTGATAGACTCTCTCTTCCGTAGCTTTCTGTTCTTCGTTCTGAAAAACAATTGAATCATTATTACATAGAACGTACTTTTTTATTATGTAGATCGTTAATATTTAAAGAATATATTTTACCGTTTCTTTCATTTGAATTTGATTTATTTTAATTCTAAACAACTTGTTTGTAAAGTCTGCGTTAAACACAAATCTATCATTGTCTGCAACATCCCTTCCTCGTGGATTTTTTTGCAATACTCTAGCTTTCCCACAAGCCAAAGACTGTAAAGTTCTCCTAAGTTCGCCGTCTTCTATATTTGTTGCTGCCTTTATATCTTCCAAAGATAAATTGTCAGAATCGTTAAACATAATTAACACCAATGCTTGAAACAACGACACTTGAAGCTCCTTGTTACCCTATTTTCAAATCGGTATAAAATAGTATATATTATTTTTCATAAACATATATCGAAGTAATTCAAGTATTTATTATTTGACATACCTGATTAAACCAAGCTTTCAATACACAATGACCCAGTGTAGGTTGCCATTGCAATTTCCTACCACTGTGCTTTCCCAAATAAAATTTATTAAATACATCTTGGTACTGAACCATTTCTGGTGGTAATGTTACTTCCATTACAGGATATGTTGGCCAGTAACCCATTGTAAGTATTGAAACAGTTAAATCCAAATTACTAGCAGACAATTCATTTTGTAGATTTCCTGCGTACTAATTCATGAAGAAAGAATTTTATGATCGAAAAAATAAAGAAAACATACATTCAAATTATAGTTTAGTAAACATCAAAAGTCGAGTAGAATATGTATACGTACTTGTTTAAAAGCAATATTAATATCTTTGCTGAGTTCCATATCTTTAAACATTCCTTCTAATTTACTGGTGAATCCACCTCCACATTCTTGTTTTAATTTGGATAACATGGATTTTTCAGAGTCAACGGAAGCCGATTTACCCACTAATAAACGTTTGGCCAAATCTTTTTTATAAAAAGCTTCAAATACATCTTTTCCATGTATAAATCTAAACAGTACCATAATTTTATCTAATAATCTCTCTAATTCTTCTTCTGTCGCTTCTTTGTTACCTGCTCTCAATTTGCAGTCGACAAACTTTGCTGTAATTACAATAGCACGCATTAATTCGCTATCATCGGGAATAGTAAAGGTACACTTTTAGTAAGCGAAGATATTAATGTTACCTATTAATTCAGCTGGTTTATTTGCTCGTTGATTAATAAAAGCTTCAAAAGCTTCTTTTAAACTATTTGCAAACTTTTCATTTCTATGAAAACACGTATTAACTATATTGTCCATTTTGTCTTTGAAATCTAGAAGCTCCTGAACCATAGTCTTATCTTTTTCTGGATCTATGACTATGGTTTTACCTTTTTTCTGTAGAAACAATAGACAAATATAACTGTAATTTAAATTATAAAATATTCATTATCGAACTCATTAAGTACATATGAAGCATACCTTTATATACGAATTAAAATTCAAACAAAGTTCTACAAGGCCATTTTTCACTCGACTATATAAATTATAAAGTAAAGATAAATCACTAATTCTATTTTCATCCAATAGACCACTTAATCCTTTCTGTAAAATGCTGCTAATATGTTCAGACAGTAATTGTTTTTCTACTGTGTGTATTAGTGACCACCTATAACATTAAATTGGCATACATATTACATAGCATAGAAGAAATATACCACAATAATCTATACAGAAATTATTAATACAGTATTTACTTTGTAGATGCGTCAAGGTAGTGTAACAATCGTTCATTTTCTTCCTGTAACCGTTTGTCCACGTGTGCTAAGTACTCAGGAACATCGTGTTCGTTCATCAATCGCTGACCTTCAGCAGCATACAGTCTTTCCGTGGCTACCAGAAATCTACAAAAAGAAGTCAATAACAGAAACACAAGAATAAATTGTTTTAACGCATATCAATATATAACACACTCATACTTAGTTTCAAAGGCATCTTGGTAAATTTGTAAATCTGATAACATCCGTAATAATGATTTAAGAAGCGTTCTGTCTACTGTGTCGCCTTGCCGCTCTTTTTCTATGAGCATAAGTAGTCCTTCTACTGTACGTGTTTGAACTAAATTGTTTAGAACAATATATACTCTAAACAAGTGCAATCCCATATCCCTGAAATGCCATGCACAATAACATGAGATACTAGTGAATAAAAAAATTCATACATAGAAATAAAACACTAACCATATGGATAAAATACTTGGATTTTGTAATACATATGTCCTATCCAGGTATAGAAAAATACTCCTAATCATAATCATTTGTCTACAATGCGACTGCCAGCATTCGTTCATTTTTTTCAAGAATATATGCCTGTCCATGGATTCTGCTAAGAACTGTTCTATGTTAGCCTGGACATGGGCTTCTGTTAACCTTGTGAGTTTTGTGTATAACGTAGATGCCATTTTATGATTACACATATTTTCAACTGCCTGATAAAGTTCTTCTAATGAATAACGGATACTCTTGCTGGTTTGTATCGCGATTACAGCCTCTTGCAATTTCTCCCATGTTTGCTCCTGATAATTTTCTGGTAATTTTGGTTTATCTATATAGAATACAATACATTAATAACTATGTATTCCTATTTTATTGTATAAAAAAATCTGAGTTTTAAATAAGAATTATCAGTATAATGAATTTATAACAATGACAATATAAAAATAATATACAGAACAATTTCATTTACAGTTTTAATGAAATTGTTGATACAGTTGTATCCTTTATGAAACTATATATTAAAATTATACGTGGATTCCAATAATCTCGTGTTTCACAATTATGTATTTATTAGATAAATACAAAAAGAACGTAAATACTTTGAGTAAAAATTGAGAGCATGCATCCATTTAAAGATTGTCACACAATAATTACTAAAATTTTTCAGTCATATTTATTTTCCATTAGTCATTCGGAGCAATTAAAAATCTTAACTCGTACCGTTACATTTCACAATCGATAGACACGAATCTTCTGGAAACCATAGAAAAAGCAAATAAATATGTACGTATTAAAGACGTTTATCCGTTTTCAGTTATCCTTTGGTGTCAGATTAGGTTATGTCAGTCTCATATTATTAATCGCAGTAAGAACCAATTCGTCCTTGGACGGATAATCGCGGGTCGAGGGTGCCGCAAAACTCGTAAAGTCGTATTTCGAAAAGAATGTCGCAATGTTCGAAGGCACATTGCCAACCATAAATTACATACACCAACTCGCGTATTAGTACCAGCTGATTTTGAGGTTATGTAGCCCTATGGTCTTGCTTACTTTTGAAGTTTTTGATGACGAGCTTTCTAGCTGTGCCTGGTTTCGCACTCGCCAAACTCGATGATATCTTGTTGACGCCGTTCGGATTGCCGATGGTCAATGCCGAGAAATTGGCTCTCTTCTGAGTATCAGTGGTGGCCGCGGCCGTATCCGTCATGTTTTCGATCTCGTTGATCTCCGTGACCGCAACGGCGGACAGCTTGCTGCGCTTTGCAGCACCGAAGTTTACCACCGCTGCGTGATCAGCGGCCGTTCTCTTCACCTGTACTGTGGCCAGAACCTGAGTTCCTCCGAGCCTAGACATATGCGTGCATCACTCGGCCGCCGGCCCTCAGCACACGGAAAAACAGTTTTCTACCAAGAAATCCAATGAATTCTCCCTCTCCTGTTCTACCTTTGTCCCTGCGTGCTCGACGAGCGGAAAAAGTTATTTATCTCCAGACTCTACTTGTGACGAGACTCGCGAACAATTGGCAATGTCCGCACATGCGCGATACGCGTACCCCGGTGCGCCCCGCGTGTTTGCCGCGCATCTTTAACCGTTACTTTCTTCTTAACATTCCTCCTCCTTTTAAAACGGTTGCAAAGTCGCTAAAATCATTACAAATAATGTTTTGAATTGAAAGAAAATCGAATGTTCTACCAGTAGGTTAGAAATTTTATTTTATCCAGATGTACATTCATTTCTCTTTGTAAAATATTTACAATTTAATAATGATACAACGTGAATAGGCAGAAATATTGTACCAGAATATATTTAGATTACTTTGATTTACGGAAAATAGATTTTTCATCTACAATTGTGTTTCGTTTATAGCCGTTTGTAAAACCTTTTTTCTTTTTCAGAATATACATATAAGCGTAATAATACGTTCGGTGCATTAACAATACAATTCGTTAAAATATTTGTTATTTTATATTCACACCTTTTTACCAGTATGAGATTCGTTAAATTATAAAATGTTAAAGGTAATACATGTGCGTGTAAAACGTGTAAATGAGACATTTTATTCTAATTATTTTTTTTATATCTAAATTCCAAATCCTTTATGCTAAATCGCATATGCTAAATTCATAAAACAAATTTCCTGTAAAATTCAGTTATTTACATTTATACTTCTTCATCTAAAAATGTCTCAGTTATCGTAACAATGTTCGAAAATATTTGTCTTGTATTAAAAGTTGCTAGTTATAAACTTTAATACAAAAGTGCAAGAAATGGCGTGTATATTTTATGCAAAAAAATTTACATAAATGTTTAGACATATATACGTTTCAAAAATAAACAAAGTAGAAATCGATAAAAAATATTTGTAATAACAGTAATTAAACAAACAAATGTTCTCTGTTGTTCATTATATACAAATACGTTGCTCCCCTCACCTAGTTAAATGACTTACTTATGTGTCACAATATCACCAAGCTCAATCTATTAATAAAGTGTGTGCATTTGTCCTATTAATTTATAATACTTTCCTTTATGAACTTACAGTATAACTTGCAACTAAATCAATGCAACAATGTTTGCATTGTTTTCCCTTTCTTACATTCCCTGTTTGGTGTTCTGTACATTGCTTGATCAAAAAAATACGTACCATACGAACTATGTATTCCTAACCACGTAAATTGCTTTTAAATTGAAAATTGTACATTTACAATGCTATAGCTTTTCTAAAATTACCATAATACTAAGATATAACATTTCCCATTAACTACAAGTTGCCTTTTCACTTACAAGAGAAGAATGATCTGGAACATTTTCATTTCTTAAAAGAACCGACTAAAGAAACTTTTCTTTTGCTCTGCTGGTTTAACCGTTCTTGAAAATATACGATCGATATCTTTGAAGACATTTTTACTTGATTGAGCAGCATTAATGTAATAGTGAATTCCTTGTATAGCATAATAATCAACTAATGGTTGAGTTTGTGTATGATATGTTACTAAACGTTTTTTCAATGCTTCTGCATTATCATCTGATCTTTTGATCAATGGTTCTCCAGTGATCTATAAACAGAGAACTATATTTTTGCAATACTATCTAGCAATTGCATTATGTCTTAACAATCATAATTATTACTTACATCGTCTTTCATAGGGACCTTGGGTGGAGCAAATTCTTCATGATATGATCTACCACTTGCAGGATGTATCAGACGACCTGTGATTCTCTTTATCAACAAATTATCATCAATTCCAAACTCTATTACAGCATCCAATTTAGTATTCCTCTTCTTTAACATGTCATCAAGCTGTGTAAGTATAAAAATATATTAAAAATATACTTTATACTAATTACTAATACTAATTTAATTAATTCAAGGTAGAATGTTTTTAAGACTGTTCTACTTTGATTTACTCAATGTCATTTCAAGGTCAAGTAGTTTTTACAAATAATAAAGAAATACATAGAGATAATGATTAATGAGGGTAACATTGAATTATTTAAATATCAACAAGAATCAAATCGAAATGATAATTAGATAAGAAAGTGATAATTGAATATTAAACTTTCATTATGAACTTACTTTTTGAGCTTGTGGAACACTTCTTGGAAAACCATCCAACAAGAAACCCCGTTTGCATTCAGGCTTGTCCAAATTATGATCAATCATGCTAACAACAAGATCATCATTGACCAATTTACCTTCATCCATTATTTTCTTAATCTCTGTTCCGATAGCAGATCCAGAGGTAATCTCTGCTCTGAGCATATCGCCTGTAGATAAATGACATACGCAATATCGTTCCTTTAATAATGGAGCCTAAAATATAAATATGTAATTAACAAATCTGTGAAAATAGTTCCAGAAAGGTTAGAAATTACAATGTGAAACTTTTGAATATTTTGACTGAAACAAGTGTAATCTTAATATTTATGTAAAAGAAATAAACTTTACCTGTGTACCTTTACCGCAACCAGGTGGTCCCAATAAAACCGCATTAATACCTTTATTCGGTCTTTCTTTCGGTAAATCGGCATGTTCCTTTGGTACTGCTTCCGTTCGCGGAGCCATTTTTATTTATCAATACTTTCTTTAAGAGCAACTGAAAAAAGACGACTTTTCCAAAAAACGCTTATGTCAAAGTTCACTATCAAGAGTACATATCACTGTTACGAACAGCGCGATTATCAAGCACCATTAATTCCCACTCACGGTCTCCGTTGAAATAACGCAACAAAATAATTTCTGGTATGGATCCACACTTACCTCATCTAGCGTTCCTTTTTTAAATTAATATCGAATCGACACGCCAAAGATTTAAATTTGAATTCCAAATACGATGAAATCACTTAAACGTTAGATCATTACATTTTACATTACTTTAATTCAGATTTAATACATTTATACTACACAAAAGCTGGAATAAGAAAGGATATGTAAATAGAAGAACCTTTTTTTGCAATTCGTATGTATTTTTATCATATTATATCGTTTTATATCGAACAAAATACAATATTAATTAGATCATGTACTTAACTATGTAATACATTTCAGGGTTTCAAATAATCATTAAATACTAATGACTTGTATCGTACTATCACTAACTTAAGCGCAATTATTACAACATCATTCATAATTTTATTATTCAACTTTCATTAGTACTCGTAACTTAATCGGAATCAAAAAGCGAATTCCATATTTAAAATAAACAAGAATGCGTCACCTGCGTTTCTTCTTCGTTAAAAAGTTTTAAAATTTGTCTCGGATAATTTAACTTTCTCATAAATAGAAGAGAGATTAGGGTCCATATTATTCTTACGTGTAAAAATAAATTTTATTAAATTTACTTTAAAGGAACAACATAAGGAACCTTTCATTAAAAACTTGTAGTTAACTTTTTAATTACTTTTTAAATTAATGCATTGTTTAATGATTCAAACACAAGGCCCACATTTTGAATAATCTTATACCGCAACGTTATACATATTGCACAGAACGAACATTTTTTCAGTGACAATCTGTTACTGATTTAATTTCTAAACGGAAGTATATTAACAGTGTCTTACTTATGTCCAAAATTATTAGTATATCTGTAATATGTATATTCAAATGGAACTATTTCACAACAGGCGTGTGTTTATTGTCTATATATTAATTTAATGTTGTCTACACAAGATTCTAAATGCCTGAATGTTTTTTCAATCGCTTATCCTAGGTTATATGTGTCGACACATAAAGGAATAATCTAAATTTTAAAGTAAAATTTAAAGCTATACTGTTTCTTTTACATTCAAACAAATAATTTATCGTATTTCGTAGATTGTATATTTGTATAATTGCATGACATATCGAGTACTGTAAAGTACCGCGTTATTTTCATTTTGTATGAAAAGGATGATTAATCGAATACAGTTTAAAAGCGCTTTTTGCAAATATGTAACAATATTCGATTTTTATTATCACTCAATATTGCTGTTTTTCAATACACATAAAACCTTATAATATGTTTCAAACAAATTGTCGATGTATAAATTAAATGGTAAACGTAAAACAATTAAATTTTGTCTGATTAAATCCTATAACTAGTTAGTATCAGGACGGCGTGAAGGTGGATAAAAATGATAAATTCTAATTAATTACAAAATTTAAATAATCACATTAATTACAAATATTCACAACTATAAATTAATAGTTTCTCCAGCTTTATCTTACCAAAGAAAAGTATAAAATTTTCTTTGGCTAAAAATTCACAAGTTCTTCTAATCAAACATTAACAACATAATTAAAACTTGTATACTTTAATTATGCAGACGCATTTATTACGGCGTTCAAGTTTAAACATTATAACATGAATTTATTTTAATAATATTCATAGTATTAAAATAAATTATTTGTACTCAATATGTATATCTCGTAATCACAATAGAATTTTGCTATGTATAAATAATATATAAATTACACTTAAATAACACTTGTATAAGTAATATAAATTATGCGATGAAATATTGATCATTTTCGATTATAAGGTAAACATAATTATTGCATTCTATACCTATACAAAAAAAAATGTTAATTCTTAACAATTTCTTAGTTCTTCTGTGTTCATATAAACTTTTAGTACAAATTACATTATTATACATGTTTCATTATTATTCAATGCTTAAGAAATTGGTTGATTATTAACTTTGCTAAAATCGAAATTGCATCTTTTACTAAAATGTTACATTCTAAAGTTTATTACAATCAGTGTTAAATATTGCACAATGCTTGGTGTTAAATTTTTAACCTCTAAAAAACTTTTGTATATGTTACTTAACTCCTTGTTATCGTTTGTTTCATCTTTACTCAAATATTTTAAATACGTTATTTATTATTTACTAAAATAATACTAATATCAAGCTGTTTGGTCGCAAAGACTTATTAGCAATATAATTTCTATCCTAGCTACACTAATGTGCCAACAAAGTAGTTCTATTTTTCTATATTTCAGTTACAGAAGCATCAAATAAATGTTTGATCTCCTGTTTCTATTTCAAGGACTCTTTGACCA